TTTTTTTTTTTTAAAGATTTTATTTATTTATTTGACAGAGAGAGACACAGTGAGAGAGGGAACACAAGCAGGGGGAATGGAGAGAGAGAAGCAGGCCTCCCGCAGAGCAGGGAGCCCAATGCGGGGCTCGATCCCAGGACCCTGGCATCATGACCTGAGCCAAAGGCAGACGCCTAACGACTGAGCCACCTAGGTGCCCCATGTGTCTGTTTTATACATAAAAAGAGTAAGAGTGTTTGACCCCCTAGAGCCACTTTCTGCCCTTTGAGGGGCATATTGTCCCATTGAGACTCTGTACTAGGCTGATAGCAGTGGGCGTGGAGACCAGAGGGGAGCTGGGGGTTGTATTTTGGAAGTGGTATGAGGAGGCCTTGCTGAAGAGTGGGTAAGTTGAGACAGGAGAGCAAGGGAGGAATTGACGCAGTGTAGACATGTTTGGCCTTGAACATCTAGGTGAGTGGTTGTAGCATTAACTCATGGGGAGGTCAAGGCAGGTATACGGTGTTTCACAAATTGGGGAGGTGGGCGTGTGGTACTAGGGGTGGGCAGGGGCCATCTCTTCCCCCCGAGGTGGGTGACCCCAGTGCTGTCCCTTTCCCAATTACATGAGGCATTTTTGTCCCAGATGTCCGTGAGGGGGGCCTCTGACCTTTGCTGGGGAGAGAGTGAACCAGACCCATCTCTACTGGCTCACCCTTATTCTTGCCACGTCCAAGTGCTGTGTTTAATTAAAAAAAAAGTTAGGATGTATTTCTTAAACGTTCAATACTTAAGTTTTATTAACAAAGGAAACTTTATATGTCTGAAATTAAAGACTTTTTGTTCCAGTTATGTTTTAACTACAGAATTTCAAAAATAACAACTTTGCCTCTTTGCTTGCTGAATTCCCCTGCGGGACCACAAGTGGGGCAGGGCTCTGTTAGACCACCTGCTGGCTTCTCTTTCCTTACCGCACCCCCCCCCGCCCGCCCAGAGATTTGATTTGATTTTTTTTAAAGTAATCTCTACATCCAGCATGGGGCTCGAGCTCATAACTCCCAAGGTCAAGAGTTGGATGCTCTTCCGCCCGAGCCAGCCAGGTGCCCCGCCTTCCTTACTTTGTTCACGGGAGCTGTTATTATTAAGTCGGGAACTGTGGACTCCTCGTGGTTGAATTCTATGTGCAATAGCATGTTTGCATGTGTTTTTGTTACGGCTCACCCTTTCTGGTTAGGCTTTTTTGTCAAAGTGCCTTGCAGTTGCACGCAGTGCTTTGGCTAGTAGAGGACCCTTCTTGCTCTACACGGTTGCTAGTTTGTGTAGGAGAATACAGTGTGAGAGGCCCTGGTCTTTTCGTCCTCCCAGAGAGGTTTCAGCCACTGCAAGTCTCCTTTGGAAGGAAGCAGGTAGAATACAAATGAATGAGTAATAAAGAAAATCCCAACACTAAAGATTTTATTGCCCATATGCTTACATATTTTGCAATGCCTTTACCTTTAATACCTTTGATGATTCTCTCTCTCTCTCTCTTTTTTTTTTGGTGGGCCAGGTACTTTAGTTCTACTAGTTATGGTACTAGTGGTTATAGTAACAGCGCTCGTAACAGCGACTGCCTCTCTGATTGGACAAAAAGTTGTGTACCAGGTGTTGGGCCAGGCATTTGTCCATCCTTAGAGCAAAATGAAGTTAATTTACTATTAAAAAAAAACTTAATTCTCAAAATAATTTCAAGTGTTGATCGAGCCTTTGCGAAGGACCACTTGACGTGCATTAGCGCATCTTACCTTCACCGGCCCTCCTCATTTGCAAGATGAGGTAAAGGATGCCCAGAGACAAGCCCACTGCATCCCTTTGTGGATTTATCAACCTCAGCACTACTGACCTTTGGGACCAAAGATAATTATTTGTTTCGGGGGGCTGTGCTTTATAGAATGTTGAGCAGCATCCCTGGTCTCCACCTATTAGATGCCAGTGGCACCCTCCCCTCCCCCAGTGGTGACAGCCAAAAATGTCTGCAGATGTTACCCAGTGTGTCCTGGATGGCAAAATCACTCCTGGCCAAAAACTACTGGTTTAGATGATTGAAACCAAAGCCCTCGAGGTTAATGGGGAAATAGAAAAAAATACTACACTGATAACAAATAATAATATAGTACTTAACTGATGCCAGGCACTGTTTAGATAATTATTTGATCATTACAACTTGATGAGGTAGGTACTTTTATCAGTCCCTTTGTATTATGTTATCAACATCCCTCTTTGAGGCTAGCAGGAAAGGAGATTCACAGACCTCGGGTAGCTTGCCCAAGGACACCCAGCAGGTCAGCTGCAGAGCTGGACTTTTAAACCCAGTGTCTGGCTCTCGATACATGCTTGCAACCACCCCTGTCTGTGTCTGGTCTTTACAACCCTTTGTTACATTAAAGCTAGCGTTGGCAGGTCCTGGAACTAGAGCTGAGCAGCTATATGAGTTTTACCCATTGGATCCTCACTTTGAGTATCCTCCCATTTGGCAGGTGAGCAAACTGAGGCAAGCATCCACCAAAGTGTCTGAACACTTTTGAAGTCCCCAGGATGTCCCAATTTGTAACCCCCTTGCCATCAACAGCTTCTCTTAAGGACCAGATCATTGCAAAGTCCATGTTTCTTACGCGTCTGAGGAAGGCTGGCCATTTTGTTGTCTGGCACGAATTTAGTAACAGCACAGTCCCAGTAATGGCAGGCTATTTAAGCAAAGGGGCAGGATCTCCAGGATCTTCAGGAGGCATGGCCCATCTGAACACTCCATTTTGTCACATGGTATGGTTTCTGTCCTACCCCCAATTCAGTGGATGAGGCTCAGGGGAGCAGTATATAGGTAGTTGTAAGGTATTTTCAAAAGACTTGGGCTTAGGTACGATTCTCTATCCTCCTATAAAAGTTTGGAACATAGTAAGGAGGGAGATAATTGACCAGTGACGCCCTCACTCCATCTGGTGCTGAATTTGGGTTCATTCAGCGTCACAGAACCTTTGAAATGAGAAGCCGGAGATCTCCCAAGGGGTTGACTTGGCCTCCGGCAGGTGCAGTGCCTGTGCAAGCCAGCTCCTGCATCTCCCACAAATGGATGGCATGCCATTTGTAAGCCTGGCTCCGGTCTCTGCATCTGGACTGTGGTGGGGGCTGGTTTAATCTCTGTTTATTTTGAGATTTACACCCGTGAATGGGCCAAACCAATTTCAGTGGCAGCTTAGCCGATTTGTCTTAGAGCTTTGTGTTTAATAGAATGACTGGGGAGGCCTTCTTCCTTCGAAGCTTTAATGGTTTAACATTGGGTTAAAGCCTGTGCTTGACATAAATGGCCAGCCCTTCCTGCTGCTCCCCATCTGTGGCGCTCTAGGGGCCTTGTTGAAATCAAATACAGTTTCTCTCCTCTCCCCCTAAAAAGTTTTATTTATTTATTTATTTGTAAATTCGTTTTTTAACAATGAACGTACTTTTTCAGCTTCACCAGCCTCTGCAAAGACGGGACAAGCAGGGAGTTTATCCGGCAGCCCGAAAACTTTCTCTCCTCAAGCGTCAACACCCATCACGACGAAAACGGACAAAACATCCACCACTGGAAGCATCCTGAATCTTAACTTGGGTCAGTGGGAATTTTTGGAAGTCTCTTTCTGCGGCAACTATGAATATTGTTGCAAGTTGTGATGTCCTCTTTTGTGTGTGGTTCTTGAGCTCTGAACTCTTCTCTCTTTGCAAAATATTTAAAAGGTACACTGGACAAAGATGAAGAGAGGTTGGTAAGGGGAGCAAGTAAGGGATTTCCTGGGGCTTGTTGACATGTAAAGTTGTTTCATCTTGAAGTACCTTAGGCTGGTGTTTACAACCATTTCTTGCCCTTGACCCCAGTAACCTGGTTCTTATATATGTGTATGTATAGGTTTTTTGTTTTTGTTCTTTTTTTTTTAAAGATTTATTTATTTGAGAGAAAGAGCACATGAGCTCCGGGAGGGGCAGAGGGAGAGAGAATCTCAAGCAGACTCCCCACAGAGCCTGGAGGCTGTCAAGGGGCTTGATCTTATGACCCCAAGACCATGACCTGAGCTGAAATCAAGAGTCGGCCGCTTAACTGACTGAGTCACTCAGGCACCCTATGTGTGTATATATGTTTAATGTTTTATATGCATACACACACGATGTACATAAAGTTTTATGAATCAGTATTTACTTTATGTGCAGTATATTTTGATATATTGTTTTCTTAATTCTCTTCTAATTTTTTAAAAAAATGCTGGTGTTTATCCCTGACTTAGTAGGTTGTTTTTTCCCGCCACTGGAGTTCATTTGGTTTTTTAATTTTTAATTTATCTATTTTTAAAAGATTTTATTTATTCAGAGAGAGAGAGAGAGTGAGCACAACTGGGGAGGAGGGGTAGAGGGAAAGGGAGAAGCAGACTCCCCGCTGAGTGGGGAGCCCGACGTGGGACTCAGTCCCAGGACCCTGAGACCATGACCTGAGCCGAAGGCAGATGCTTAACCAACTGAACCACCCAGGCGCCCCTCATTTGTTTTTTTTTTTTTTTAAAGCACTACCTTAGGCGAAAGTCTTCAGAAAAATTATCACCAGAAATGCGAAATATCCATTTGTGAAGTTATTTTATTGATTCATTGCATCATGATCTTTGATTTTTATTGAGCATCTATTACATGCTGTGTGCTATTTCAGGCACAGGGCAGGGAGTGGTGAGCAAGGGCCCTGCTCTTATGCAGAGCTTGGTTCTAGAAAGTGAGAAACAAATAAGGTATAGAAACAAGACAGTTCACCCCGTGAGAGAAGGTAGAGTGTGCTGACATGATAAGGAGAGAGATACACAGGATGGGGGTGGTTTGGAAGAGGCTGTGTTTAGGGAAGGCCTCTGTGAGGTAGTATTTAAACCTAGATTTGCCTGACAAGAGAAACCAGCCATCCCTGTACTGGGGGAGGAAAACGTTGTAGGAGGAACTAGAGATTTACAGGCCTTGGGGTAAGGGATGAACTCTCTGTGCTGTAGGAATGACAGGCCCAGGTGGCCTGTCCCAGTGGGTAAAGAGGAGAAGTTGAGTAGCTGACGTCCATCAGCCCTGGGACCCTGGTGCGGACCCTGGGGCGGACCGTGGGGCGAAGCTGTTGGAGCAGTGGAGGGATGTGAACTGAGCATTTTAGAAGGACCACGCTGAGTGCCGTGTTGAAAATAGCCTGTCAGCTGTTCTTCCCCTGGGACAGTTCCCTCATTCCCCTCCAGGGGACACTTGGCAATATCTGGAGACATTTTTGGTTGTCACAGCTGGGAAGGGAGGCTCGAGAATCCAGGGTTTTAGGAAGGGAGGGAGGGGCAGCCCCCTGTGTGGAGTGATGCTCACGTGTGAATTCACAGCCTCTGGAGGCCAGTACTCTCCAGGTTGATCTTGTCCTGCAGTGCCCTTGCAGATGGAGAGACAGAGGTCTGGAGGGGAGGCTGCAGGTGCCCAGGATCGCGGAAGCCAGTAGGCAGCAGGGCTGGAGGAAGCCCTTGTCTCCACGGAGCCCACAGCCTGGCTCATCCTGGCTCCCGCCTTAGTGCAGCTTGGATGTGGTCCAGCAGGCAAAGTGGTAACTTTTGGGGCCCCAGCTCAGATTGGCTGGTGCGAATTGCTCATTTGCACAAAAGGGACCCGTTTGCTCCCTTGGGGATTGTTCATTGATCTCAGCAGTGTGGTTTGCTTTCTCACACCCTCCCTCCACCTCCACACCCCAAAAAGGAACACTGTGCAGAGGCAGTTCTCATGGTCATGTTTCTTCTCTGCCAGTTGTGTGGTAAGAATAGCTCCTTCCCTAAGCCAGGCAGTCTTGGACATCCTTGTGATGGTTGGGGGGTCTTTTGGTTTGGCTTACCTGTGGTGGCAGTGAAGGATTTCTTCCCGTTGTGTGGGACCTGAGGCTCTCCTATGCAGAAGTGTCCCCCTCTCCAGCTTCTTCCATTCTAGGACACACGCCTTGTCAGTAGGAACGAAAGCATTGGGCTGGCATTTCAGTTACCTAACGGGAAGAGGATCAGAGAGGGACCAGTGGAAACTGTCATGGCTGGGTAGAAGGATCAGACAGTGGAGGGAAGTTCTAAATAATCCTCAAGAGCTTGTCTGGGGATGGGGCAGGTGCTTTATATGGGATTTCTTTTTTTTGTTTTTCCTTTTTAAGTAGGCTCCACACCCAGCGTGAAGCCCAGTGGAGGGCTTGAACTCATGACCCTGAGATCAAGACCTGAGCTGAGATCAAGAGTCAGACACTTAACCGACTGAGCCACCCAGGCACCCCATGGGGCTTTTTTTTAATGTATGGCATCCACGTAACTACTTTGAGCAGACAGAAATGAGACCGCGCTGGGGATGCTGACAACATTATTATATCTAACAAAACGGTATTTCATTAAAACAAAAACAAAAACAAAAAACTGGAAAAGACAAAATTAGAGAGATGGAAACCGGGAGTGATTGTGGGGGATGTTGGGGTGGGGGAGGGTTTGACTACAAACTACAGAGTGATTCTTTGGCCTTTGACATTGTTCTGCATTCTGTGTGTGGTGGTGGTTACACATACCTATATGCAGGTGTTAAAACTCCTACAACTGTATTTCCCCCCAGATTTCACTCCCTGTAAATTAAAACTATTAAAAAAATACAACAACCTTCAAGGTAGATAATAGCCCCATTTCAATGAGGTAGAAGAAACTGGGGTGGGGGCGCCTGGGTGGCTCAGTCGTTAAGCATCTGCCTTCGGCTCAGGTCATGGTCCCAGGGTCCTGGGATTGAGCCCCGAATCGGGCTCTCTGCTTGGCGGGAAGCCTGCTTCTCCCTCTCCAACTCCCCCTGCTTGTGTTCCCTCTCTCGCTGTGTCTCTCTCTGTCATATAAATAAAATCTTTAAAAAAAAAAAAAGAGAAACGGGGGCACAGAGAAGCAGTTAACCTGCCCAGCCAGGATCACCTGTGATCTGCGGTCACGTTTGGCCTGTGGACTCAGGCCTGTGGAGTCAGGCCTGTCTGCCTTGTAGTTTATGCTCTTAGCCACGATATGTGAGCCGACACGCTGCAAGATGGGGCCGTGTTTGGATGCTGGCAGGCCCTGGACACTGCCTCTCATGCCCTTGGGTAAGTCGGCCTAGCTGTAGGGGTCAGGGGGTAAGGTGACGATTTTGAACCGGCAGTCCCATGGAGGACAGATTGGTTTTCTGAAGGATGCAGCTCCCCCAAGTTGAACCTGTGTTGTCAGACTCTGAACACAGAAATGCAGATTTTTATATGAACTCTCCTCGTTTTTAAAAGTCGGCAATCAGTTGCATTAAAAAATGAAAACTCTTTTTTGGGCTAAACAAATAAATCCAACCCAAAATACAAAAACCCAGCCCAGTGGGTCATCTGTTGGATTTGTGATTCTTAGAGTTAATTTTGGCACATGACAAAGGGGAAAGCTTTCACAGAGACTATTTTCTCCCTGCTTGCTAATGTACAGGCCTCTCATTTGCTGTCTCAGGCCTCCTGTCTGCTCTAAAACAAGGAGCCGAAGCCTGGTGGATGGTTACAGCCCCTTTCTGTGACTGTATGGAAAATAAGTCATGAATAAGAACGAGAGAAGGAAGGCCTGATTATTTTCTTCTAGACTCCCGTTTGCTTCTCTGGGAATCTCGTCTTCTCTTAACACACAGGGTGTTTGCTTTGGGCTGAACAAACACAGCAGTTCAGTGATCCTGTTGGTGACACAAATGTGTCCGGATGCTCAGAGATGCTGACAGCAATGTGAAGTTGTCAGACCCAGAGCGTTGCTGCATGTTTATTCCTTTGCTGTCACTGATGGGAGGTCTCCTTTCTTTCTCTGGATAAAGTGATACCTTGAAGTCAGGCGTCCTTTGAGAGCCTGGATGCAACACTGGGGGCCCAGGCTTCCCACAGGTTGTCTTGATTTTTTTTTCCCCCCCTGTGGGTGAAGTGAGGAAGATCTCTGCTTGGCTTTGATTGATAAGAGATATTTGCCAGGGTCTCTGGTCTGGATGATTATTGTTTCCTCGAAGGAGCCACCATTTTGTAGCTCCTGGAAGTCCACCCATTATAGTCACCCAGCAGCTTTTGAACAAAGGAAATCTATTTTTTTTTTTTCCCCCTTGAGAGAGGGAGCTCGCGAGAGGGGGTAGTTTGAGGGGTGTGCAGAGGGAAAGGGAGAAGGAGAATCCCAAGCAGCCCAGAGCCTGATGCGGGGCTTGATATCATGACCCTGAGATCATGACCTGAGCCAAAATCAGGAGTGGGGCAATTAACCGACTGAGCCACCCAGGCACTCCAAGAAACCTCCTTTTTTTTTTAATTGAAAAATACATGCTTATATTTTCTTGAAAAGTTTATTATGAGTCATGAAGGCACGTGATAAGAGAAATTTCAAAGGACAGAAAGATGTTTAATGAAAAGCCAGCCTGTCCATAACCTCTGATCACCTGTCTCTGTGCCCCTCCCAACAAATGACCATGGTTACCTCTCTTTAGTTTCTGGGAGAGCTCTTCTGTATATACACCAGGAGTTTTCAACCTGGGTGATTTTTGTTTGGGAGTGTCTGGAGATGTTATTATTATTATTATTTTTGTTTTTATTTATTTTATTTTATTTTTTTCAAAGATTTTATTTATTTATTCATGACAGAGAGAGAGAGAAGCAGAGGGAGAAGCAGGCTCCCACGGAGCAGGGAGCCCGATGCGGAACTCAATCCCAGGACCCTGGGATCATGACCTGAGCTGAAGGCAGACGCTTACCCATCTGAGCCACCCAGGCGCCCATATTATTATTATTTTTAAAGATTTTATTTATTTATTTGACAGAGAGAGAGAGCGAGAGAGGGAACACAAACAGGGGGAGTGGGAGAGGGAGAAGCAAGCTTCCTGCGGAGCAGGGACCCCGATGCGGGGCTCGATCCCAGGACCCTGGACCCTTAGACGCTTAACAACTGAGCCACCCAGGCGCCCCTGGAGAAGTTATTTTTAAGTAATCTCCACACCCAGTGTGGGGTGTGAAGATCAAGAGCGGCACGCTCCACCGACAGAGCCAGCCGGGCATGCCCCTAGAGACATTTTTATGTCACAACTGGGATACGGGTGTGCTACTGGCACCTGGTGGGTAGAGGCCAGCAAAGCGCTGACCATCCTGCAATGCACAGGACAGCCCCCAGCCTCCCACCTCCTTACCCATCCCCCCAAAGACTTATCCAGCCCCAAATACCAATAGTGCCAACATTGAGAAATCCCAAGAACACATATGTTCAGATCTGTGCTCCATTTCCTTCTTTTCTCCCCACACCAATGCTAACGTGTTCTGCCAATTGTTACCTTCGTTTTCATTAAACAGGTTGGCTTTTCCAGAACAGCACATAAAGGTCTGCTACGGTTTTATTGTAGCAGCCGTATTTTGTTGCACTTCAAGGTGAAGTGTTGACTTATTTACCTGGGCACCTTCTGTATTGGCTCTAGGTTGTTTTGCTGTTGAAAACAGCTGCAGTGAAGACCCTTTTGGCCCTTGTGGGAGCGTAGCTATAGGATGAGTTCCTAGAAGTAGAATCTCTGGTCAGAGACCGTGTGTGGTTGACGTTTTGAGAGATACTGCCAAATTGCCCTCTAAAGGGATGCTTCTGATTTATGTTCCCACCAGAAATGTAAGATCGTGTCTCTTTCTCTAGCGTTGGTATTTTTTTTCCTCCCTGGTTTCCATTTATAGCCTAAGCTGTCTTAATATCAGCAGAAAAGTTCAAAATGTTGGCAGCAAAGGTGGATTCTGAAAATATTCCTGATATAGAAGGGCAAGGGTAGAAGTAGTCCCGATAAGCCACTATTAGCTAAACGAGAAAGAAGCTCTTCTTTCCTCCCTGTGGAGGAGAGGGAAACTCAAAACGCAGCTGAAAATTAGAGAAAGTTAATTAGATTTGGGTAAACTCCTGAAGGTCTGCTCCCAGGGACCTGATCCCAGCCCCCTCCTGGCTTCTGGTGGTTTCTTGTTAGAATAAACATTAATGTAGCTTATTGACCAGAGAAACCCTAACTGTAAAATGAGGTGCTTTAACCTTATTTTCATTCCTCTTGATTATGAGTATTTCAGAGTTCAGCCTTTTTAGGCTAAAGTTAAGAGATCGCATTTACTGTTAGACACATAGTTACGCGCATAAACAGGAGTATTCTGGCGAGGTGTAGGTCTCTCTTAATGAACCCTAGGTTTAGAAGGTTAACACAGATATACAAAGGTTAAGGCAAATCAGGAGAAGTTTTCTTTTTTTGTTTTTCTTAAAGATTTATGCGCATGAGCGGTGGAGAGGGGGAGAGGAAGGAGGAGAGCAGCAGAGTCCCCGTTGAACATGGAGCCTGACTTGGGGCTGGATCTCACAACCCTGAGATCATGACCTGAGCCTTAACTGACTGAGCCATCCAGGCGCCCCAGGAGGAGTTTTTTTTACTCACATAGAAGATTGGACTAATACAGGGTTTCTCAGCCTTAGCTGCCAGTTAGAATCATCTTGGGTACTTTTTTTTTTATCTTACTATTTTTTTTTAAGTAGGCTTCATGCCCAATGGGAGGCTTGAACTCATGACCCTGAGATCAAGGGTCACATGCTCGATCGACTGAGCCAGCCTGGCAGCCTTTCAGGGGCACTTTATTTATTTATTTATTTTCCCAAAGATTTTATTTATTTATTTATGTATTTGACAGAGACAGAGACACAGCGAGAGAGGGAACACAAGCAGGGGGAGTGGGAGAGGGAGAAGCAGGCTCCCCGCTGAGCAGGGAGCCCGATCTGTGGGTTTGATCCCAGGACCCTGGGATCATGACCTGAGCCAAAGGCAGCCACCCAACCCACTGAGCCACCCAGGCGCCCCTGTTAGGGGTACTTTAAAGGGCCAGTGTCCAGACCTTCCCCTAGGCCATTTAATTCACTTTCTCTGGGAGGGGGACCAAGGCATTGGGATTTTTTTTTTTTTTTTAAAGCTCTATAGGTGATTTCATTGTGCAGCCAAGATGAGCAGTCGGTGCATTAGAAATGGGGATGGTAAATTTTATGGCCTTTGGACCAAATCTAGCCCCCCATCTCTTTTTGTAAATAAAGTTTTATTGGAACACAGTGTCATCAATTTGTTCACATATTATTTATGGCCACTTTGGCATCAGAGCCTATATGGCCTGCAGAGCCCAATTTACTCTCTGGTGTTTTACAGAAAGTTTGTTGACTCCTGGTAGAGTAGATGGTGTTTTTTTTTTTTTTGGTAACTGCTGTGTGGAACATTATTGAGGACACCAATGGAAAGTGGTTTTGTGAGATACTTCTTTGACAACTTTATACTTAAAAGGCTGCCTTTTCCCTTAGGAATCCAGCCCGCTTTCTCATTTCTGAAAGCGGAAGTCATGAGACAGGCTTCCTGTCCTTCCCCCCTTTCCTGTCACGTCTGCATCTTAACTGTTGAGACCTCAAGTCCTTCTCGTCCTGCTCTTGAATTGGAGGCTTCTGTTTTCTTGCGGTTTTCCTGGCCCTCTTCCTCCTCCGTTTCCACCTTGCTGTTTTATTACTGTTTGACTCTGTGTGTTCTCTTTGTAAGGTGCTTCTCGGGTAAATTTGCATGAAGATTCTTTCCCCCTTCCAAGTGCCTGTGCCTTTACCCCATCCCCTCCGTGAGCATGTCCGGTCCTGTACACACATACGCACACGGATTCTCACGCACATGGGCACACACACTCCCAGGTGGATATGATTTTAGAGCCTTGAGACCTTTCTCTCAGGACAAGGATGGTATTTGCTTACTGTAAGCAACTCACACCCAGAATCTCCCTGATGGCTGCCCCCCCCGCCCCCCGAGTATGTTTTTGGGAAAGGGCCCTTCCTAATCTTACCTTGGTGGGGACCTCATTACGGTGATAAGTCATCGTGGAGCCGTTCGTTGCTCTGGTTAGCTGTGAGTGGGCCGGGTGGGGCTCTTGGGAGGCTGCCTCCCTCCAGTCGCTTAAAGGAACAAATCTGTAGGTATGCAGGGTGAGAGACTGCCCTGTTCCCGGGTGAAGGGGAAGGTGCGTCGGTCATGTTGGAAAATGGAAACGAGAAGAGAGTGAAGGTTTTGAGCAGCCTTCGTAGTCCAGCCCTCAGACTATACCTTGGGCCTCTTGCACAGCCTGCTGGTTGGAGGTGGCACTTGGGGTGGGGTAGCAGGGAGATGGGGGACGTCTTGAGAGTGAGCTCCCAGGTGAGGGCAGCAGGCTCAGAAGTGGCTTCTCGTCTTTGTCCTTGATGGATGCCACACGCTTTCCAGCTGTGTTTCTGGGATCGGCCAGGGCAGGGCATGTGCCTGCATTTTCTGCTTGGGTTCGGTTGGAGAGGGAGGGGGCACGCCAGAGGATGGCAGGCAGGGTGGCTGAAAGTGCTCTCTGCCTGTGAGGTCTCATTGCATTCTGGGACTGTGCAGACACCTTCGTTTTATGCCTTTCTCCTGTTTCAGGGGGTACTAGAGGAGGTGGGGAAGGAATTCAAGCAATGCAAGCTCACAGACCTGTGGAATCTGATCTAGTTGGTCATATAAGGAGCCCATGGTCGAAGTGGGGAGGGTGGCCAGACCCTTGGCCCTGAGTCCTCCGTCAGAGCCCTTTGCCTGGGACTAGGGCGAGGAGCTTGCAGTGTATCTGAGTGAGAAGACACAGGTTGAATATCCAGGGCTAATCTGTTCACCTGTCTTCAGATGGATGCCTGGACCAAAAGGAGGAGGTCTGCCTCTCTGGCATTCGCCGTCCTTTTCTGACTTGAGCTCTAGTCTTGGTCGACTAGGAACGAAAAGTGAAGTCTGTGTTAAATGACGAATCGGGCCTCCAGTTATGTGTGTGTGCTCCGGGGTGGCCTTGTGGCGGGGAGGCGCTCAGCGTCTCTTGGGTACAAGCCCTCTCTGATCTGGGCCTGGAGTTAAAAAGCACACTCTGGCCAGACTCGGTGTGACTTTATCTGCTGATACTGAGATTGAATATATTACTGTAACCTTCGGCTTTCGAGCTCCCTAATGACGCGGAGTTCCACAGACAACCATCTGGCTGGGATTGTGCATTTTAAATATTGAAAGCCACCCAGGCGACTGTTCAGCAGACTGGGTAAATCTGCCAAATGTGTTCTCGGGCTATTATCTCCAAATCAGCCCGTCGTCGAGCAGATGATGTTGTTGGGACAAACAGTAAGAGGTTTGAGGTTTCTCTCCCCGCCGTGTTCTAGAGCGTGTGTTTGCGAGAAGGAAGCTAAGTGGTGAGCGTTGCCTGTTCCTCCGGCCAGTGCCTGCCTGATGAGGGGGTGACCGTGTCTTCCAGATCGGAGCAAGGCCGAGATGGACCTGAAGGAGCTGAGCGAGTCGGTCCAGCAGCAGACGGCGCCTGTTCCTCTCATCTCGCCTAAGCGGCAGATCCGCAGCAGGTTCCAGCTAAATCTTGACAAGACCATAGAGAGTTGCAAAGCACAATTAGGTATGTCCTTTGGTTTGCTCGCCCAGGCACTGTCACCACCATCACCGTTAACTCTTTGTAGGGTCACGGCCTGGATGAAGCCAGAATTGGACCTTAGCTGCTGTTAGCAGCTGTTTGACCTTGGCCTTGTGTGTGCTACTAAAGTATAGCTCCACTCTGGGCAGAATGTTTCAGATTTGCTAGTTAGTGGTTCAGAAGGGTTCTTTGTGGGTTTTTTGTTTGTTTGTTTGTTTAAGGTTATTTGAGGGAGAGAAATCACAAGTGCTGGCGAGGGGCAGAGGGCGAGGGAGAAGCCGACTCCCCGCTGAGCAGGGAGCCCGATGCGGGGCTCGATCCCCGGAACCTGAGATCATGACCCGAGCCAAAGGCAGATGCTTAACCAACTGAGCCACCCAGGCGCCCCTAGAAGGGTTCTTTGAATTCCACCCAGCTTATTCTCTGGTTGTGGCAGCCTGCAGACTCGAGGTGCAGGTGGTGGGGGAGTTTGAAAATGGAAGGATCCTCCTGAGTTTGCCCCTATGCTCCCTGTCCATGCACGTCAGGTTCCTACTGTCAGGATCAAGTGTGTTCCACACATGCCCAACACAAACTTTTCTGCTGTGGACTGAGCCCTTCCCACTCGGCACACGCGTCCTGCTTCTATACCTGTTGCCTCCCTTCCCCTTCCCCGTGCTGCCTGCCTTCACACTGCCTACCTTTCCCTAAGGCTGAGCTCAGGCATCACCTCCTCCAGGAAGTCTCCTCTGGTTGCCCTCCCCTCCCCATCTGCCGCCTCCTGTGGCACTTTACTGCTTGGAAGCATCAGCAGTCTCTGTGTTGGGGGAGGGGTTCCCTCTGGACTGGAAGCTAGACTGGAAGCTCCTAGAGAGGACAGGGAAGTTGCCTTATAAGCATTTATGTTCTCCATGGTACTTGGTCTTGTGTACATAGTAGATGCTCTGGAATATTTGTTGACTAAGTAAACAAAGCCAGGAGGGTATTTGCAGAGAAGTAGGGGATGGCTGGCCTCAGGAGAGAGAGCCACACCAGGGTGAGGTTTACAGTGTCTGGGTGCTATGGGCCTTGGGATGAGTAAGCTGTAGTCAGGAGTCATCCAGAGGGGCCAGAGGAGGGCATTTCTTATTGGATTTTCTTTTTGGTTAGGACTTTGAATGGCATGGCTGAAATTTTGCAGGCCATTTAAATATGTGCCTTGGGTCCTTCCATGCAGCTGGTCTAACTCCTTGATTTATTATTAACGTTAATAAGAATTTTAATATTTCTGTTTACCGACTGTTTCCTGCATACCTTGCACTGTACTATGCACGGTGCATAAATTGTCCTGGGAGGTTGATAACCATTATCAGTTCCATTTTGCAGATGAAGAAACTGAGGCTCAGAGAGCTAGGTCACTAGTTCAGTGTCACACAGTGAATAAAAGTGCAAGAGCAAGATTTGAATTCATGTCCTTTGGGCTCTGGTATCCAAGCCTTTCTTATCACAAATGTGGTCACATTTGTACTTGTGTCTGACTGTTAACTACAGTAGCGTAAGCCTTAGGGGCCCAGAAGTTATACCAGATCTGAGTTTTTGTATTTTGGCTTCTCCTGGTTTGGATTGAGCCCTGGTGGAGGCATATAATTCTATAAAGATTTTGCTGGGCTGCTCATGGTTTTTGTCTGTTTGCAGGTTTCCTTTCAGTGTGTCTGGGTCAGGACAGTGACCTCACTCATGGGGGCCATGGCTCTAGAATGAAGACAGTACAGATTGGGTTTTTCTCATTTCAGCATTTTAGGGTATAGTCTTGTTTACCTGTGGCCAGATGACACTCATTATTGGGAGCAGGACACATAAATGGGTTAAATGGAATATGCTTTTGCCCATTTGTGTGTGTGTGTGTGTGTGAGAGAGAGAGAGAGAGAGAGAGAGTGAGAAACATTTGCTATGTTGTCATTTTGTCTGGCTTTGGATAGAGACGTGGAGATGCGTGACTTTGCTCTTGACTCCGCTGTCCCTGGAAGAACAGGGCAGACAAGATGGTGGCTCGCCTCTGCATCAGCTCAGGGAGCAGGAGGGAGGGCTGGGCGCCCAGGTCAGCTGGAGAGATGGTGTGTCCCTGAGGGAAGCAGCCAGTGGCTTCATGGCTCCAGCCAGCCACTGCCTTGCAGGCCTGTGACCCAGAGTGGCCAGATCCTCTGCTCTTTCCACACAAGCCTGCTGTCTTGATTTCTGTGTGAAATTTCCTGACTTGTGAATTGGGCAATATGGTCGTTCTAAGTGAAAAACAAACAAACAACAAAATACCTGCTGGGCCAAGCTCTTGCTTCCTACATAACATGTGTGCTGGCCAGATGTGGTTTGTGGGCTGTGAGCTGGCAATATTTGCTTTAAGGCTTTGGCTTATTTCTTGGAGGCCTGGACACAAAGGGACAAGGACTTGAATGCTTTGGGAATTCGTGGGAACAGCGCTGGTGGTCCATCAGGAGCCCAGTGTTCTGGCCTTCCCTCTGTCCTGGTTTTCTTTATGTCCTAGGATAAGTGATTTCTCTGGGCCTCTATTTTCTGATCTGTAAAATGGAACCGTTTTAACAGCTCATCTCTGTTGTTCCCTTCAATCCCTCCCATTCTCTACATCCCAATTAGTTAGCAGTGATACAAAGATGTAGCTCCGGATAAATTTAAAATTTACGTTGTCTGGTCCCTTGTCATCTTTGAATGTCAATAACTGAAACCCTCTGCAAACCCAAGTTACATTTGTCAGCTGCAGCTAGCTCACTGGTAACCCCACCAGGCCAGTGTGATGGGATTTGAAATGGTTTTTTTTTTTTTTTAATTCCAGCATTTGGCGTGGAAAATGTTTGCGTTTTAGGCCCTGCTCTTTATTTTGTGACTACGCCACATGCTGGGTTTTCTCTTTGAATTTAGGCATAAATGAAATCTCAGAAGATGTTTACACGGCCGTAGAGCACAGCGATTCGGAAGATTCTGAGAAGTCTGATAGTAGCGATAGTGAGTATATCAGTGACGATGAGCAGAAGTCCAAGAATGAGCCAGAAGACGCCGAAGACAAAGAGGGTGGTCGGATGGACAAAGAGCCGTCGGCTGTCAAAAAAAAGCCCAAACTGGCCAACCCTGTGGAGACTAAGGAGGAGCTGAAAAGCACATCACCAGCCAGCGAGAAAGCTGATCCGGGCTCGGTCAAGGAAAAGTCAAGCCCCCAGCCTGAGAAGGACTTTTCAGAAAAAGCGAAAGCCTCCCCTCATCCCACAAAGGATAAACTGAAGGGGAAAGATGAGACCGATTCCCCAACAGTACACTTGGGCCTGGACTCCGATTCAGAAAGTGAACTTGTCATAGATTTAGGAGAAGACCATTCTGGGCGGGAGGGTCGTAAAAATAAGAAGGAACCCAAAGAAACATCTCCCAAGCAGGATGGTAAGTGATCGCACCAGTTTCCGGTTTCTTGATTTGGTTTAGAGTGCCACCTTGCATTTGTATTTCCAGAAGTTACGTGACCCTTCGACGTCACAAAGGGAGGCACCAGAGCAGAGCTTTGATTGGCTCAGGGTCACCTAGCTAAGTCACTGATCAGGCCCAGGACTGACTTCCCCCGGGGCCTGCCTGCCTTTCATCTGCTTAGTACCCAACGTGGTTGATTCTGGTCCCAGAAAAGTAAAAAACGGTAGGTGTTTCTAGCAGCAAGGTCATTTTTAGCCGAAGCACCTGCTTTCCCAAGAGGCTCACTCATTTCCCTAAAGTGTTTGTCAACGTTTAGACATGTGACAAGGTTGATATTGTCAGAAAAGTTCAGTTCAAAGATCTTGAGGAGTTCAGCTCCCTTTCTTCCCTTCATGCTGCCCAGGCACCTCCCCAGTGCATTTTCTTACTGGAATTAGGAGACCACTTGGGGAGGTGGTACCAGAATGCCGAGTGCTTCTTGGGGCCGTAGAAATGGAGAAGGCGTTGGATGGCGGGCACTTGAATTGGTGTTCCTCCACATATGTTTCACTGACACGCTATTAACGTTTTGTGCAGAGTAATACTTCATATCCTGTGCACTGGAGAATGTTTAATAGCATCCTGGGCCTCTACCCACCGGATGCCAGGAGCATCTGCCCAGTTGTGGCTGTGAGAGCTGTCTTGACATTGCCATTGTTTCCCTGGGAGGCAAGATCTCCTCCAGAAGGAAAGTGTGCATGATGGGAAAGGTGTCCTTCCCATGGACAAAGCAGTCAGCACATTTTCCGTTGGTTTTGGCAAGTGGGTATGAAGGGATTCCAACATGCCCAAGAAAGATATAATTGAAGAGTCAATTGAGGGCCCAGGAAAAACACTGGCTAAGGACAAACTGGAGGTTATAGCCAGAAAACTTTATGTACTCTGTGAGTACCCGAAGGGATAGTCAGGCTTGATTTTTGACCATGCCCAACTGTTGACAGGAGCGGACTTTTCAACCAAACTCTTGAGTAAGATGTGATTCCAAGTCTGGCTGCTTAGAGCAAGTCGGGGATGGGCCTTGAGAATCTTCTTTGTTCTTGTCCACCTGGGATGCTATGGAACCTCAGTTGTTAGGGAGTGAGAATTCTTGTAGTTCTTCAGAAGAGGATGGAATGTCTCTGAATGGTGCAGTGCAGGGAGAAAGAGAAGCAGTTGAGTGGGGCAGGGAGGATAGAATAGCACACCATTCCCGGGTCACTTTAGATTTACGGATGGCCTCTGAAAAATTGGATGATGGGTTGTGGATTGGGTTTTGAGGCAGATGTGGCAGAAAACAATAGGGGAGTAGCATTTATTCCATGAGGTTTATGGGAATATTTGGGTACAGCGATGGCAGTGCTACTCTGAATGATACAGTTAATTGTTCCTTATTTTCTGGAACATATCTTTGGATGGATTGGTTTTATGCCTCTTCCCCTTCCAGAAAGAATCTGTAACAGATTGACAAGAATATTTGACCATGAAACAAAATGTAAATAAAGTCTGTAAAAGATGAAAGTAGAATAGTAAGCGGTCTGGGAAAGTTTATGCACAGAAATATGTTCTAGCCTTCAGAGTTAGCATAGTTGGGCTTTCATTTTGGCTGTGAGCTTCCTAGCAGTCAAAGCAACAAAGGAATTACAATCCCTTAAAGGATCTCCTATTTTTCAAAAAAAAGAAAAAAAAAAAACTCCTAGTTGAGACACAGCTCTTCCTTGCACTGATGTCTGAAGGAAATATGTCTGGGAGACCCCAAGTGTGTGGTGTATGTAATTAAGCTGAAGATGATTTTTTTTTTTTTTAAGATTTTATTTATCCATTTGACAGAGAAAGACACAGCAAGAGAGGGAACACAAGCAGGGGGAGTGGGAGAGGGAGAAGCAGGCCTCCCACGGAGCAGGGAGCCCGATGCGGGGCTAGATCCCAGGACCCTGGGAATCATGACCTGAGCCGAAGGCAGATGCCTAACGACTGAGCCACCCAGGCACCCCAAGCTGAAGATGATCCTAAAACATAATTCGGATAGGGCATTGTCCCAGGGGTTGGGACAAACACCTGCCAGTCTTAAATCTAGAGCCCCCTGATGGTTGTTTGAGTCTTGAAGAATCAGCTTTTTATCAGACTCTGCAGTAGAGCATTTTTTTCAACGTTGTGTTTTCACTTACGAGTTTATTAAGTGAAGGACATTTTACAGTGTGCCATGGTGACCTTCAGTTCACCTTCAGCTGGGAATGCAGCTTATGTGTAGAATTTGGAGCCTTATGTAGCAGAACTGCTTTCTAGCTGGTGATCTCAGAATTGAGGCAAAGAGAGAGCTTCCATAGAGACCTTGCTGTGCTTACCTTACAACATCAGTAATTTCTATCCTTCTCTTAGAAAGCCCGCCCTTTAGGTACTAGACAGTGACCAGACTCTACAATCAGTAGGTTAATAAGTAGGGGCAGCTTCTGGAATGGTGGCCCTTAAGAGATTCCCCCTTTTCTGGGCTACACAAGTGATTTGATTATACATTCCAAATTTCTAGGACAAATGGAATTTCCTATGGCCTCTTTTTTTCCCTTCTATAAACCGCTAGAATCTTCGAGAAATCAAAATATTTTAGTGTCTAAGTAGTAACCCCAAAGGGTGCCTCGGGCCTAGAATCTTTTTGGATTGCACACTCCAGGTTTTTATTTGGAACAGAGAGCCAGCCATGGCCACTGTAGAGCAGCAACCCATCGGCGAAGCCAGCTGTTTGTTTCTGCAAATCAGTAGAAAGAGGAGGACCTACTGTCTGAGGAGAGGGGCTAGGCTTGGTCCTCAACAGTAACGGGATATTTTTTGGTCACCTGGGAGGAAAGGGAGGCAGGTAAAGTGCTTCTGCAGGTTAGAAACCCCACCGGGGGACCACCTGGTAAACCGCTCCTAGAAAACCTGGGTTCAGAGCCCCCTCCCCACCCGCAAGGTGCAGGGGCTGTATCCAGTGTCTGGTGCGTCATATCATCCCGGGGAAAGAGCAGGGCTTCTCACTGCATGGAGAGCTCCCCTTCCAGCTCCACCTGCGCCCTTGCCTGTGAACTTGGGGGGACCCAGAGGAGCAGGAAGGCAGAGGAGGGCTATAGGCAGATGTGATGACCAACGAGAAATTCCCCCGCACTGGAGTCAGGAAAGTCAGCTTGTTTTTTTTTTTTTTCTCTCTCATTCTCCTTGACTTCCTAAAACCCAGTGTACTGAAAATCCTCCCTAGCCTAATCAAGGTCAGGTCTTTTCTGGGTTACATAAATCTAAAAGAACAGACATAATCCTCCTTCAAAGTTACTTATGTCAAGGTACATTGTCTCCCACGTGGGTGCTGACTTGTACCCGTGTTTTGGGTGTGATCCACGGGCATCCTCTGGGGGGGGGCAGACCCACCCCACCAGTGGCTGGGACCTCTGCAGTGATACCTGACACCCCCTGCCCCCCCTTTACAGATGAGCGCAACGGGGCCACCCCTTCTGGGCTGCTCAGTGCTTCTGGCTCTAACCCGCCTTCCCGCCACTCCTCACTGCCTACTCTCACTGACCGAAATGCTGCCTGTTCCTAAACACGTCTTGGCTGATGCTCTCACCCCCCCAAACTCTCAATTCTGCCTGCTGAAATCCTACCCCTTCACCACACCCGCCCCCTCCCAGAAGACCGACTCTGGAAGGCAGCCTTTTCCAAATCTGTCATTCACAGTTCATTAGTTTGGCCATTCCCAAGTCCTGCTTGTATAATTCTTGACTTTATGTTTTTATTTAAAGCAACTTATGCTTTACAGAAGAATTAAGCTCATTTTAGATGTAGATTTGACCACTGCACAAGAGGTAAACCAGTATTGCGTGATAAACGGTGGGAGCGGGAATACAGTCAGAGTAAAAGCAAGGCGTATACTGACCGTGGTGAGCACTCAGTAATATGTAAGCATCGTCGAATCACGATATTGTACACCTGCAACAAATAGAACACTGTGTGTTCACTGTATTGGAATTAAAATAAAAAAAAATAATAAAATAACAATAGCAACAACCACAGTAACAAAAGCAAGTCTCCTGACTTAGCAATACCATTGTGTTGGGAAGGTTCTGGCTATGGGGTCGAATTCCCTTTAGTGTTAGGTGTCAAGGCCATTAGCAGCACACTGGGACTTTGTCCCGGGAGGGAGTCAGAGGTCAAGGGAGACTTTCTTTCTGGGTGACTTCATGGTGTTCAGTGCTTTGGCCTTTGGGAAGTCACCTGATTCTTGGGAGTACATGCTTTATAGGTTTCCTAGTCAAAGGGATTGTCTTCATCTCTGGATCGACTTTGGCTGGGTCTTTCACAAAGTGCTTACCTGGCTATAACTATAAAACAAACCACGTGCAGTCATTTTGTTCATCCACTCGGTGGTGGGCAGCTTGAGGGCAGGGGCTGGGTCTAGTTCACCCCATTTCCCCCAGAGGCCCTGATAGGAGTCTCAGATGTGGGCAAGTGCTCACAAGAAAAGGCCGACACTCTGAGGAAGATGTGCAGAGGCACCCTCTGTGCCTAGGGTGAGATGTGCTCCTCCATTGGGGGATCCTTGCCCTACTGAGTTCGGCATTTGTGGCTGGCCTTGCTCCGTTTGACCCAGATCGTGCTGGCGTAGACAGACGCTGCGGGCCAGCTTGAGTCCAATCTCCACTTTTTGTTTGTTTGTTTTCATGCATCGGCTTTAGTTGTAGGCAAAGCTCCACCATCCACCACAGCGGGCAGCCAGTCCCCACCTGAAACTCCGCTCCTCACCCGCTCCTCCTCCCAAACTCCCACGGCTGGTGTCACGGCCACCACCAGCACCACGTCCACCGTCGCGGCCCCGGCCGCCGCCGCCGCCACCGCCACTGCCGCCGCTGCCGCCACCACCACGGGAAGCCCGGTGAAAAAGCAGAGGCCGCTTTTACCGAAGGAGACTGCCCCGGCCGTGCAGCGGGTCGTGTGGAACTCGTCAAGTAAGTTTCAAACGTCTTCCCAAAAGTGGCACATGCAGAAGATACAGCGCCAGCAGCAGAACCAGCAGCAGAACCAGCAGCCTCAGTCTTCCCAGGGGACGAGATATCAGACCAGACAGGCTGTGAAAGGTACCACGCCCCCTTCTGTTCAACGTGGCGCCCACTCCCTTCTTGCCACATCGACAGGAGAGACAGAATTGTTTTCTTTCTTTTTCTTTTTTTTTTTTTTCAGTTCCTTTTTGTTTTGTGGCCGTCCTATCTTGAAGGCCTCGCGCATCCCATGTGGCATTATTTTTAAAGATTGTTTTGCGACTTGTTTTTTCACTTTTATTTTTTTTCCCCTCCGTTGTTAGAAACGATACATGCATATAGGCTTCTTTGAAAGGGGTAAAATATTTGCCCCGCAATCTGTTGTCTTGACCGAACTTCCATTTCATTCTTCACCCTTTCTCAGTGGCCACTGTTAACCGTGAAACCTTTTTTATGCATGTATGCATATATATTTACATATATATGACTCTCCATACAAATAGTACTTTTTTTTTCTTTTTCCTTTTTTTACAACATAAAAATGGTACCATACTTGCTTTTTTATTTTTCTTCTTCCTTTTTTTTTTTTTTTTTTTTTTTACCCATCAGCATGTTTTGGAGGTTCATCCATGTTAGTACATGATAGCTCTATCTATGTTATTCTTTTGGACTGCTGCATAGTATTCCATAGTTGATTTAAATCAAGTATTCCCCTGCTGATGAGCATTTAGATTGCTCCCAGTTTTTTTCTGTTGTAAGCAGTGCTGCAATGAATACCTTTGTATAAGTTTTCTTGTGCCCACCCTTGAACCTCTTGGCATTATTTCAGGAAGAAGGCAGTGTGAGGAGTTGGTAGCAAAGGGTACCTTAATCACTAGGGATTAGCCACCTCCAGAAGAACAGTCAGCATGAAGCACCGGTGGCTGAAGTGGCTCGATCTGGTGCTGCTCAGATGAGTACCCGTCGGCCCATCTTTTGTGAGCGCTGGTGCTGATCTTGTCCCGCAGGGAAGCCCGCCATCTAGATCCTTGGAGGTTGGGGTCTTTGGTTGAAACTCTCACATACTGAGTGTGCCCTAGTGAGTAGAGCTGTAAAGAGCTGCAGCTGTGGGTTGAAAGGTAGCCAGGTCTTGAACAGCCCCAAAGAACCCCTGGAAGACTGTGGGAAGGAGGACTGACAGATGGGTCAGGCACGGTGGGAGTGCAGCTGGGGTGCTCTTGGAATTTAAAGAGCTAGTGGGGCAGGAGTCAATCTAGGATATTGGAGATTGGGATGACTAGTTCCAGTTCCTTCTGTGGCCGTACCCCGTAAGAATTATGAGCTTCCCCAGGGGAACGTAGGTGCTGTCAAGAAGAGACCCATTGATGGTATGGTTCTCAGTTTCCAGATTGTCTTATGTCAAAGACAAACAAAGCTGGATGCTAGTGAAAGTGGTAAGGACTGGTTTTAATCAGTGTATGTTATTAATGATAGGGAGAAAAAAGTCCAGCATGAACTGACGTCAATCCCAATTTCTACAGAGTTGACTGGGTGTTTTAAAGTGGGGGGGGGGTAGGGAAGGGGCTGAGTGGGCACTCCAGTAGAGTCAGGGACATGAAATTTTACAAAAAATGGGAAGTGGGGGGTTGGTTCATGTGAAACCCACGTGGGGTTGCTAACTGATGCTTCTTGAAGTTAGGCTCCTATCCTCCCATAGAGACTGGGAGACAGGGGCCAAAGGGTATTGGCTGGAACAAATAGTAAATTCATTTGGCAGCCTTGTTTTCTCAGGTAGGCACTTTTAGGGGGGGTCTGGGGTCATCCTAGGGGTGCGGCCTTGAGCTGTCAGAAACCATGTTAGTGTTTACACAAGGCTTTACAGGCCAAGCTTGAGGCGTCATCCTAGAAAAGGCTGAGAGGGTCCTGGCCAGAGTCTGGTCAAGGGGAGAGTGTCTATCACTTGAACGTAGACACGCTCAAAGGGTGTATGTCAGGGACTTCACTCCCTCTGCGCAGCTTCGTGCTGGGTCGGGCCTTTCCCATGACAGTGGGGTGACCAGGACGCTTTGCTTTCCCAGCTGTGCAGCAGAAGGAGATCACGCAGAGCCCATCCACCTCTACCATCACCCTGGTGACCAGCACTCAGTCGTCGCCCCTGGTCACCAGCTCAGGGTCCACGAGCACCCTTGCATCCTCAGTCAGCGCCGACCTGCCCATTGCCACCGCTTCTGCTGACGTCGCTGCGGACATTGCCAAGTACACTAGCAAAGTGAGTGCCAGTAGCATCCGAGGGTGGGGGTGGGGGCTCAGAGGACCCACCTCCCGATGGGAGCCAGAAGGGTCTTGACCTGCAGGCTTTCCAGGGTGCTTCAGAGGGGAGACCCTGTTTTTCTTGAGGCTCTCCAAGCCCACATTCTTCCATTTGGGTCTAAGGTTGGGTCTAAGGTTGGATCCAAGCAGAGAAATCTAGAATGCACTGCATCTTATTCTGAGGGCTTTGATGCTAAAGTCAGTATACAGCAGAAAAATGACATGGCGTCAGAATTACCCTTCAGAATTCAGGGCACTCATCGAGATGGTTTCCTTAAGCACTGGAACAAGTTACTGTTCCGTCAGTTAATAACAGACCAAGGGGTTGGTTTGCATCTAGAAGCCACGTGGAACAAAGGGACAGAATCGTAAGCATGAGATGTATAAGGTACGATGCTCACATCTAGGTCTTTCCAGGAACCAAGATGGGCTAGGGAGTAGTGGCCTCCCTCCCGACGCACCCACCCTCGGGGGCATGGTGGCAGGAATCCCCTCGGTGGGTTCATTTGTGGGTGTTCTCTCCTGCAGCCTCTTTCTCTGAATTTGCCAGGTGTTTCTGTGCTCATTGTTGAATTCAGGTGGATACATCCTGCAGCTCTTCTCACCGTCCCGCGAGAGTGCTCTGGCATTTTTGTGCATGTCCATGCAACATGCTGCTTCATAGCAGAATAACCACCAGACTGTCAGCTCCGCGAGAGCAGTATCTTGTCTGTTTGGCTTACCTCCAGGGCCTAGAAATGTGCCCAGCACACAGTAGGTGTCGACACAGAGCTGTCGAGTGAATGCATTTGGGTGCCTGACGCCTCTTCACCAGGCTTGTTACTCTCAGTGGCTATTAATAGTAGTTAATGAGTAATAACCTAGGAAGAGTATTTAGTATATGACTAAGCAAGCAGTAGTAATAATTTACTCTTCACAAATGAGTACATTACTAATTAGTGAGTAAATTATTCAGGTTTATAGAAAGAGTGGGTGACAGTGTTTGGGAATAGTTGGATCTCGAATTCTTGAAGTCTTTTAATAAAGAGTTGCATTATTATGCTGGGTTAAAGGTAGGCTCCCTTTTAGTTCTGGATGACAAGAGACACATATTCTTTTACTGGTGTGGTGTTTTTGTTAGTCATTTTCTTTTTATCCCTTCTCTCAAGGTGTATCAGGTATCGCTGCATAACAAATTACCACAAAACACAGCAACTGAAAACAACTCATATTTCTTATCTCAGGGTTTCTGCAGTCAGGAGTCGGCATGGCTCAGCTGGGTCCTCTGCTTTGTGAATTCCCATGAAGCCTACTGACCACAGATGTTCAGTGTCCATGAACTCATTGTTCTTGCACTTGGCTTTTTTAAGCAACCCTACCTAACATCCCCCTGCTTCCCCAGTCTCCCCCTCACCCCAGCTAAAATCAGAACTGGTCTCGGGGATGACTTTGTCTCTCATTTACTATGTCTGTCCTCCTTTTGAATAAAATGCATGGATTGTTATAGAGTCGTTGAGCGTCAGAACAGCCAGGATTCAAGGTATAGTCATTTATGGCCATTCTCAAGATTTTAGTCTTACCTGTCCACCAACGAGTTATTGATACAATATTTTTATTTAAGTTAAATTTAACTTTATTTAAATTGACTTCGTTGAAGAACTAAAATAAAATTGAGCTTAACATTGTCAGATCACCTTCCTTGTCACGACTTGAAGCCCAAGTCTTTGTTCCTTTGGTTAAAAAGAGAGATTGTCATATGAGTGTTTGGTACATACTGGTACTGAACTGAGACTTTCTTCCTAATGGGATGTGCAGAGTTACAGGAGAATGGAAAGGGGAGGTCATGTTTTCATTACTGATTGACGAAGGTGTCTGGTATTGTCTAAATAGTCTCTTGTTCTGCTTGGAGTCCAGCCTTATACCACCTTCCATTGATTTGGTGCAAGCCGCCTATTTACAGATGGGGAAACTGATGCCCGTTGAGTGAGCTCTTGCATTTAGTTTTATTCCATTTTCTGAGCTCTTGCATTAGTTTTATTCCATTACCTTTGGCTGCCCCTTTTGCTCTTACAGCAAAATTTAGGGATGAACTTCTTCATAGACATTGTCTTTACAGTTAAGAAAATGAACACGGTGAAATATTTTTGGAGCTGATGAACTTTCCTGTCTCCAAGGTGACCCGGAGTCGAAGACCCAGATTTGTGTGTTTTGGCAGAAGGGTGCTCTTTAGTAATGTTGGGTCCTTTGCTATATTTGGAAGAAAGAGTGAAAGTCTGTCCATGAATCACAAATCCATGATTTCTTTAAAGTGGAATGTAGCCATTGCATTAGTAATGTATTGAATTTCATCCGCTTTCTGAAGTTTTCTTGTAAAGCCATTTAGTTTTACTACTTTAAATTGACATGGTTGGTGCAGCGGGGCAGGAAAGCCTATACAGAGCGACTGCATAAAACACCAAGTGTTTTTCCTGGCAGCGTCCATGTGTGGCCCCCGAAACAAATTAGGAGTGGAAATCTCCAGACATCGTATTCATTTTCTTCCCATTTTGGGGTGAATTTGGGGGTTAGTATTTTTGGGGGTTGGCAGTTTCATAGTTAAACCTCGTGTGAATTTTTTTTCTGTAGAGATAAGATAAACAGGTATTTCTGAACACCTGCCCTGGACCACAGTCTTCACACGGATTTCTCACGCAGTCTTTGAGCACACCCTACCTGGGGTACTGCAGTTATCCTTGTTTTCTGTATGGGGAAACCGAGGCTCAGAGAGAGGATGATGATGGGAGCAAATCTTGGGCATCAGAGACAGGTGGTCTGTGTCCTGCCTTCTCGCTGCATTGGAGCAAGCTGCAAAACACAGTGGAGACTTGGCAGTGACCAGGCCATGCTTAGAGGCCTCGTTTGGTCTCCTGTCCCCTCCTCTTTCTCCTGTGATACGGGCGTGGGATCAGCCAGCAGGTGGGAGGCAGGAGAGAAATCATCCTGCAGACACTATTCAGGCAGTAGATAACTAGGTGCTTGCTGCGGGGACCTGAGCTGATGTCACAAACTTGCTGATGCCGTCAGGGCTCAGATTCTTAAAGCAAAGGAAGAGGGGAAGCAAACTGGAGAGGCAGTGAATGAATGCCCTGACCCTCCAGATGAGCCTGTGGCTACAGAAACTAGCTTTATTTGTAGGTGATTCATTACTCCCCTGGTTTATACCAGTTCCTCAACCTCAGCACCGGTGACATTTTGGCCTGGAGAAGTCTTTGTGGTGGTGGCTGTTCTGTGCGCTGTAGGGAATTTAGCTCATCCTTGGCCTTCACCCAGTAGATGCCATCTTCCCCCCTGCTCCCCTGCCGCCTCCGCCACGACAGCCACAAATGCCAAATGTCCTCTGAGGGGCAGAATAGCCCCCTGTTGAGAACCACTGCTTTATGTTAGATTTTAGATGTCTGTCCTCTTGAAAAGCCTCAGGGAAGTGATCACCCAAATTGTTTCTGTTTTTATCTTTCAGATGATGGATGCAATAAAAGGAACGATGACAGAGATCTATAATGATCTTTCTAAAAACACTACGGGAAGCACAATAGCCGAGGTCAGAGATGACACATAATTCCTTACTTGCTGAGAATGTTTTATGGGCTGCTGTAAAATGGTGCCAGGAAGCAGATTTCTCTGGAAGTCCCTCCAGGGTGCTCTGCCGATTGTGGTTGTTGGGGAGGGTACTTCTTCATTTAGCCAGAAGGCTGGCTCTATGGGGATACACCCTGCTTTGTGTGATCAGAGGACAGCCCACACTGGAGCCTGAGTTCACCCCCTGGTCTGTTCCTTTGGCCCCATGTGTAATTGTCTCTTGGCTGTCTGTAAATGTGGACTTTTTTATCCAAGTGATTATTGTTGCCTAAGAATTCGTGTCCTGAGAGCCTCCACAATCATGTGGTTGCCTAGGGATTGGAGTGGTTAAGACATTAAATTGTCCACTTATAAGTGACCATTTATAAAAATAGACCTCCTTGAACTTCATTCCTTAGGCTAATTCACTATGAGCCAGATGCAGAGGGGTCACCAGGTGAAATGATGAGTGGCAGGATTTCTTGAGGTCATTCGAAGTGAGGTTGGAGACCGGGAAATTCCACACAAGCTATTGACCTATGAGGGCCTGGCAGGATTAGGATGCCCCGCAGAAGAAGAGAAAATCTCTGGGAAGGTGTCCTAATAGGCTTTTGATGGAGAACGATGTGAATATAAAGCTTTGAGAGAGGTCCTGAGAGGAATCAGTGAGTCCCCTGAGATTTTTTGCTCATGTGACCCTCTTTATGATTGAGCCAAGGATGTCACAAACAAGAAGGGATGATGTTGACTTAGAAAAGCACCCCTCTCCCCAAATACTTCATTGTTTTTTTGTTTGATTTAAGAATTGGCCTGTGGTTGGAAATACAGATCCATAATGTCTCACTTGAAACCTTGGGGTCCAGATGTGTGCCAGAAATTTTCAGAATTTAAAGAAGCAATATGCACCCCCCCCCCAACATTTCTGCTGTGAAATATGCTTGTTTACACCTTGTGGGATAGATCAGGGTTTCTCAACCTCAGCACTGCTGACTTTTGTGCCAGATAATTCCCTGTTACGGGGGCTGCCCTGTCCATCATAGGCTGTTCAGCAGCACCTTGGCTTCTGCCTCCTGTCGGCAGTAGCACCCCTCAGTTGTGACATCCTGGATGTCTTCAGACATTGCAGTGTCCTGGAGGGAGCTGGGAGGGCAACATTGCCATTGTAGAGAAGCACTGTGGTTCTCAGACTCTGTAAATAGCCCCATAGCAGTTCAGGTCAAGTTATTTTTTTCCCTCCAAGTGACTTGCCTGCAACACTTAACCCCTTCCTCCAATAATACGGGCTTTGGAATTTCAGGTGAATGACTGTGGATCCCACCTAAAATGTTAGATAAGAGATTAAGTATCTTTATTTGTTTTAGTTTCTTTCTTTCTTTCTTTTTCTTTCTTTCTTTCTTTCTCTCTCTCTCTCTTTCTTTCTTTCTTTCTTTCTTTTCTTTCAAGATTTCATTTGTTGATTTGACAGAGAGAGAACACAAGCAAAGGGAACAGCAGAGGGAGAGGGAGAAGCAGACTCCCTGCTGAGCAGGGAGCCTGACGTGGGGCTCAATCCTAGGACCCTGGGATCATGACCTGAGCTGAAGGCAGACACAACCAACTGAGCCACCCAGGCGCCCCTAGTTTCATTTTTTTAGACCAAAGTTCTAATCAAACCTTTTTATGTTTTAATTTATTATGAAAATCTGGTCCTTGTTTTTACTTAATTCATTCATTCATGTTTAAAGTAAACTCTCTGCCCAATGTGGGACAACCCCAAAATCAAGAGTCGCCATGCTTTAGCAACTGAGCCAGCCAGACCTCCCCCCCCGCGCCCCCGCTTGTTTTTACTTGAAGTGGCTTTTCCTGGAGCCAGTATTTCTTGGAAAAGATGGACTGCTTGTATCGTTGGCCCTTGAAAAATGGGTTTGAACTGTGCTCATCTATGATATGTGGATTTTTTCCAGTGCAGTACTGTAAAATGCATTTTCTCTTTCTTGTGATTTTCTTAACATTGTCTTAAGCTTACCTAATTGTACGGATACAGTATCTAATACATAGAATGTATGTGTTCATCAACTGCTTATGTTTTTGGTAAGGCTTCCTGGTCAAGAGTAGGCTATTAAGTTTTTGGAGAGTCAAAAGTTACATGTAGATTTTTGACTGCATGAGGGTGCCCCCTAACCACTCTCCCGCCACACGGTTGTTCAACGGTCAACTGTATTTGTTTTTGGAAACAGAATTCCTCTTGAATTTGGGTTAACACACTGGTGCCCACCTCTCTGGACTGCAGCAACTAGGCTGCCTACGCCTCGATCCACCATATGGCATTGACTCTTACAGCTGGAGGTCAAGTTCTGAGCCCTGCTGGTGAATGCCACCCAGACATGCCTTCTAAGAGTCCCACTCCCCCTCGTTACAGATTCGCAGGCTGAGGATCGAGATAGACAAGCTGCAGTGGCTGCACCAGCAGGAGCTCTCTGAAATGAAACACAACCTGGGTGAGGCCCGGCGGATTGGTCCGCACTGAGGATGGTTTTGGGGTGTGAGCTTCTATGCAGCTCTGGACGCAGGTCCAGAGTGTGAATTGAGTCTGCAGTAGGCTGGGGATGTCCCAGTGCTGGGGAGACCACAGAATCCTGGAGAGTCGAATCAGGTGTAAGAGCAGGTATGAGGGGGTATTCTCCTCTTTTCTCTTCAAGATCCCAACATGTGTAGCTAAATAGTAACAACAGCAGTAGCTCCGTGTACTGAACTCTGGACTTTGGGCCAGGAACTGTTTTAAGTACTTTTCCACGAATTAACTTTGAATTTAATTCTCCTGGAAACCCTTCTGAGAAAGGGCTCTGCTATCCCCATTTTCAGGTGAAGCAAGTGAGGCATGGACACATTGAGGAAGTTTGTTGGAGTCTGACAGCTGGGATTCAGGTTCCAGCACTGTGGCTCTAGATGTTTCCTCCTACCTGTTGAATATTGGGCATTTTAACAAAGTCTCGAACACCTCCTTTGTGCCCCACACTGTGGAGGAAGCTTCGGCCTGCCATTGTGTCCATGTTGTTAAAGGCTTTTCCCCCAAAGGTAGAGCATTTTCCTTCAGACCATCATGTAGTGTCAGCCCCAGAATCCAAATGCTGGCTCGGGTCCCCAATGTTAGGGAGGCAGGCCCAGGTGTGCCCGCCTGCTCGCAGGTGATGCATGTTGAAATCATGCATTGCAAATGCAAATCCTTAGGAAGCCGACAGGGTAAGTTAGCCCTCTGTCCCTTAGCGTGTTGCCATGGAGGGAGTTTAGTTGGATGTTGTGGCTTTTTGTTTCTCTAATAAAGTCAAGGAATCTATTTTTATGCAGAATCTCTCTGTTTTTAAATAATTGGCTGCACGTTTGAAAAAAAAAATACACGAGGGCTGGCCAGAACTTGCCGTGGTCTGCAGGCTCTTCGTTAAAGGCAGCGGTGAGGGACGGAGAGGCTGTGTCTGGCGCAAGTGCAAGGGGTTAATTTTCTTTTTGGTGCCTTTTAAAAATTTTAATTAATTTTGAGAGAGCGAGAGATCGCACGTGTGTGAGAGAGCCAGGGTGAGGTGGAGCAGAGGGAGAGCGAACCCTAAGCAGACTCCACGCCCAGCATGGAGCCTTGATGCAGGGCTCATGATCTGAGCCGAAATCGAGAGTCGGAGGCTTAACCGATTGAGCCACTCGTGGTTTTGAGGGGGGAGAGAGTGTGTGTGTGTGTGTGTTTTGATTTCAGGGAGAGAATTTTGATGACCGAAGGATCCTTTATTTTTCTGTTGGCGTGCAGGTCACCCCTAGGTGAACTGTGCATGGACTTCTTGTCTCAAGTGACAGGAGGAAGTATCAGCAGACTGAGCGGTTTGATGGTTGATCAACCATAATGATCCATCACAAGATCCTGTGTGGTAGATTTCACCCACTGCCACTGAACACACTAAATAGAAAGCGTGTCCGAGTTCCAGGGCCAGCTCTGTCCTTATTAGCCGTGTGCCTCAGTTTCCTTATCCGTGAAAGGGATATTACGGTAGAGCTTGTCTCACAGAGTTAGTGTGAAGATGAAGTGAGTTGATACAAGGTGGTCAGGACAGCACCTGCACATATATGCTGGGTGCTTGTAAGTGTTAGGTTGCAAACACACTGATGATAAAATTCAAAGTGAGCTTAGTGGAAATTGCTTTGAAGATTTCTCTGAGGACTTCCCGCAGAGTCACGGCGGGGCTCCGGTTATCTGCAGATATTGGGGCATAGGCAGGCTGGCTTACTCGCCTGGGGCGCACACAGCCGAGGCACCTCTGAGCCAGGATCCGCACCCGTGTCTGTTGGAACCCATATCCTGGACTCCCTTTCTGACCTGGTGTGAAAGGCTCCCTGCCCTGGGCCGGGGGACTGGTGGTGAAGCTGGTGTCCTCCTTCCTCCCCTGTCAGAGCTGACTATGGCGGAGATGCGGCAGAGCCTGGAGCAGGAGCGGGACCGGCTCATTGCTGAGGTGAAGAAGCAGTTGGAGCTGGAGAAGCAGCAGGCGGTGGACGAAACCAAGAAGAAGCAGTGGTGTGCCAACTGCAAGAAGGAGGCCATTTTCTACTGCTGTTGGAACACCAGCTATTGTGACTACCCCTGCCAGCAGGCTCACTGGCCCGAGCACATGAAGTCCTGTACCCAGTCAGGTATGGCCACGCGGGGTGCAGCCCGGCCCGGGCCCCGGTGGGGTGGGCGTTCGGCTCCCCGCTGGCCCACAGGCCCACAGGCCCACAGGGCAGACTGGTGTGGCCAGGCTGGCTTGGCCTGTCCCTTGCCAGTCCCGTGCAGACACCGAGCCGACGCGTGAGGCACAGCTGTTTGAACTTTTGGCCTCCTCTCTGTTACTGGGCTGAGTGTAGTTTCATGTGAGGCGTAGTGGTTCTCAGCGGGGTGATTTTTGGTCCCTACCCCAAGACACTGGCAGTGACTGCAGGCAGTTGTGGTCGTCCTAATCGAGGCGGTCGCTACTGACATCCAGAGGGGAGAGGCCAGGGCTGCCGCCAAGCATCCTATAATGCACAGGACGGCCCCCCTCAATGAAGAATGATCTGGCCCAACATGGCCAATTGCACTAAAGTTGAGAAATCCTGTTTTTAAAGTAATACTGGACTCCTAGCTTTAAGTAACATGGATTCCCAATTCTCATGTGAAGGAAGAAATGTTGGTTTGGAACTATCTTTATCCTCTCTTTCTAACACAGAACAAGCAGCCCTCAGGCTAGGAGCCTCCAGCAAGACACACTGTCCAGCTAGAATTTATTAGTAATATTTTCAATGTTAGTTTTTACAGTTAGCGTTTCTTTCTTTTTTTTTTTTTTTTTTAAGATTTTATTTATTTATTCGTGAGAGACAGAGAGAGAGAGAGGGAGAAAGAGGGAGGGAGGCAGAGGGAGAAGCAGGCTCCCCAAGGGGCAGGGAGCCCGATGCGGGACTCGATCCCAGAACCCTGGGATCATGACCTGAGCCGAAGGCAGACGCGTAACCATCTGAGCCACCCAGGCGCCCAGCTAGCTTTTATTTCTGACAGATACTAGCTTTATATGCTTAGCCTCCTTTTTTTTTGAGAGCGAGGGTGAGCAGGGGAAGGGGCAGAGGGAGAGAGAATCTTTTTTTTTTTTTTTAAGATTTTATTTATTTGACAGAGAGACAGCAAGAGAGGGAACACAAGCAGAGGGAGTGGAAGAGGGAGAAGCAGGCTTCCCTCAGAGCAGGGAGCCCGATGCGGGGCTCGATCCCAGGACCCCGGGGTCATGACCTGAGCCAAATGCAGACGCTTAACAACTGAGCCACCCAGGTGCCCCGGGAGAGAGAGAATCTTAAGCAGGCTCCGCTCAGCGCAAAGCCCAGTTCGGGGCTCGATCTCATGGCCCTGAGATCATGACCTGAGTTGAAATCAAGAGTTGGACACTTGGGGTGCCTGGGTGGCTCAATCAGTTAATTGTCTGCCTTCAGCTCAGGTCATGATCCCAGGGTCCTCGGATCGAGCCCTGCATCGGGCTCCCTGCTCAGCGGGAAGCCTGCTTCTCCCTCTCCTACTCCCCCTGCTTGTGTTCCCTCTCTCATTATGTATCTTCTGTCAAATCTTTAAAAAAAAAATAATTCATTTAATTAAAAATTCTGTAGTTAATAAGGTAGTGTGTCTGGGGGCGCCTGGGTGGCTCAGTCGTGAAGCGTCTGCCTTCGGCTCAGGTCATGATCCCAGGGTCCTGGGATCGAGCCCTACATCGGGCTCCCTGCTCCGCGGGAGGCCTGCTTCTCCCTCTCCCACTCCCCCTGCTTGTGTTCCCTCTCTCACTGTGTCTCTCTCTGTCAAATAAATAAATAAAATCTTTAAAAAAAAAAAAAAAGTAAGGTAGTGTGTCTGTTAGACTGGCGAACTTTTTGAAGGTGACATGTGAGTGACCAGGATCGAGAAGCACTCCCAAGGCCAGAGGTTGGCAAACGTTTCCTGTGAAAGGTCCACAGAGTAAATATTTCTGGATTTGTGGGCCATGTTGTTTGTTGAAACTGCTCTATTGTGATTTGGAGAGAACGCAGTCCTAGACAGTATGTAAGTGGTGGGTGTGGCTGTGTTCCAGTAAAACTTTATTGACAAAAATAGGTGGTGCTAGTATGCCAACTCCTACTCTAGACAGATCTTCTGTTATTTCGTTATTTTAAAAAAGGCAATATTGAACCATCCCTTGCTGGGTCCTTTTACCTTTAGGGAGATGTCTTCTTAATGGCTACTTTAAATCTCTTTCTGCAGGGGAGTTAAATTCTCCCGTAAATTCTGGAATGTGTCTGATGACCCTTTTGTTGTCACTGTTACAAGATGGCCAAAATGTCCTTCCGTGTTCCTTTCTTTGTGGCATTATAATGTCCATCTTTCAGAACTTCCTCTCAGACGCTCCAAGCTTCTACCTTCTCTAGAAACTCTCTGCCGTAGACACCATGTTGTTTTTCACGTGGATTTCCCTGCCTTGCTTTGGAAGGAAGCAAGTGCACGGGGCTAAAATAGGACTAAAATGAGAAATTACGGAATGAGTAATTCTAGATCAGTGGTGACAGGCTGGCTCTGCTGATGGGCTTCATCTGCTCTACCACCATGCTTTCGTCTCCACAGTGACTTCATAAAACTTGAATTAATGAACTGTTAAAAATTAACCTATTTTCACACTAAGTCTGGAATTTCGGCTTCTAGAAAACTGGAAAAGCCTTTGGGCGGGACTGTGCAGCAGCTGCCTCTGTTACAGATGGTGGGTGGGTCAGCGTGGTCCTGGGCTTGGTGCAGAGTGGGGCTTCCTGCCGTTCTGGAAGCCGTGGCGCTTGGCTCATAAGTGGCTTCTCTCTCCCTTTCCCCCCAGCTACGGCTCCTCAGCAGGAAGCAGATGCCGAGGTGAGCGCAGAAACGCTAAACAAGTCATCACAGGGGGGCTCTTCCAGCACACAGGCAGCCCCTCCAGAAACAGCCAGCACCTCGAAAGACAAGGAGACGTCGGCAGAGAAAAGCAAGGACAGCGGGTCGGTGAGTAGCCGCTCGCTCTTGGCCAGTGATGCCAACACTTCGGGCCACACGGAGTCTCAGGACCTGTCCCCATGCCTGCCACCTCTGCAAGTCCCATGTGGGTAGGAGTTTTGTCTGCAAGGTGGTCAAGGCAGCCTGCTGCTGGGGGTGATAGTCTTAGCTGCTTTTCACCAGTGGGCATGTGGGCCGGGACAGAGGGACGTGGGGCCCGAGTGGACGTTTGTGTGACTTGGCAGCTGCTCTCCGGGGACTCTCAAAGTCTACAACACTGTGGTCCAGTAGAACCTTCTGTGATGACGATAACATTCTGTGTCTGCTCTGCCCAGCATGGCGTCCACTAGCATCATGTGGCTGCTGAGCGCTCGCACCCTGGCTGGTGAGAGCAAAGACTCGCACTCTCAATTTCAATTTTAATTAATTTAAATATAAATAGTCACATCAAGCTAGTAGCTGCCGTATTGGAAAGCGAAGGTGGCACCTCCTAGTTCCCAGTGTGTGGTGTATGTCACATGGATTGTATGCAGAAGTTATTTTCGGTGGCACATTGATAATGTTTTACATTTGTAGTCATTATGTATTTATTTCAATGTGTATTAGGAAGAGAGTAAGTCCTTATGCCATCCATCCAAACCCTTTGATTTCATTGATAATATTGCCTGGTAAGTGGTTAATGTGAAATAAACGTGAGCTGGATAATCCTTTTGAAGGAATATACCTCCTCTTTGGATGTGGGCAAAACTCTGGAGGGTAGGTACGTCAGTGGAGGAAGTTGAGGAAACAGTGAATGTTCTAGAAGCTAAGGCTGTAGAGTTGAGTAAGGGCGCCACCCTGTTACTGGGTTCGAACCAGCCTGTTCATTCTGGGAGACGGAGCACAGGTGTAGGGCCACCCCCGCTGACCTGGCCTCCACCCCCATGGATCCCTAGGCTTCCCTGGGGGGCTACATTGGCCCCCGTGCCTTGTGTCCATCTCTCTCTTTTTGTATTTTTAGACCCTCGACCTTTCTGGCTCCAGGGAGACGCCCTCCTCCATTCTCTTAGGCTCCAACCAAGGCTCTGGTATGTTGCCCCCTGGTGGGTGAACGGTGCTCTCACAACTCCTCCCGGGCAGAGGGGAAGCCATTTTCTCAGGGAGAACTTTTAAGGGTTTATGGCAGTGGTTTTCCATCCACTGTGGATCCTTAGGGATCTTTGGGGGTGCCCTGGGCAGGTCACTGGGGGGTGAGGGAGTGGCCGGGCAAGGCAGCTTTCAGGCACCTCTCCAAACCGATCAGTTTTTCCCTGGGTTTGTTTTATTTATTGGGGTTCCGCATAAAAGTTCATTCTAAAGGACGGTTCTGTTGCTGACCTGGGGTGGGGTAGAAGGTGTGCATGTTAGGTTGGGCAGTTCTTCTGCCCTCAGGGAAATGACCACAGTGAGTGAAACCATCTGGAACTCTATTCCTGAGGTCCCAACGCCCACATGAGAGGGCACGTGAGCCTTTAGAGAAAAGAAAATTTTTAGTTGGGTGACCTTTCTGTAGAAATCTTTCTTCTTGGGGAATGACCTGGTAGGCTGTTTTGGGGTATTTTCTGGGGCTAAGTTTTTAGGTTTTCTCTTCTGTGGGGTTTGAGCTGTCCTCCATTCTAGCCCGAAGGGTCATTTTCCTATCCCCTCCTAAACCAGTTTTGGGTGATTCCAGAGGGTTCACAGAAGGTGCCCCCATTGAGGACAATTTGTATAATTCAGGGTCCCTTAGCTCCAGGATCTTTCTGTCTGCTGGATGATTCTCTTTAGCTGATAACTAAACATGGTACTTCCCTTCTATATATTCAGTGCACTGAGGAGGAGGTGATGTTGTTAGCATCCGTAGCTGGGGAAGATTTCCCGGAGGGGCTGGGGAGTGGGATTCAGATTGAGGGAGGCGCTAAAAGGGAGTGGCACAAGCCGACTTTAGGGAGAAGGTGAACTTGGGATTAAATCTGATTGAACTGCCTGTTGAAAAAGTCGTACCCTGCTCCCTTCCCTCCAGTCCTCCGACTGAATCCCCAAGAACAGTTCAGTTTAGTGCTAAGATGCCTTTTGCACCTCTTTGATATTTTCTAGTTTCTCCTTTTAACAAAGACAGAGCAGACTTGGCATCTATCTAGACGTTCATACTGCAGTTTGGTTTCATTATGTTTATTTGTAGAGTTGCCCTCTGTCTGTGGCACGTGTTACTGATTTTCTGTTAATGATGTAGATAGTGATATAAAATTTGTTTTTTAATTTTAAAATGAGCTTAAAATAAAAACATGGCATAAGCAGTATGTTAGGAGGACTGGGGCTGTTTCCGAATTGTGAAGGTGATGGGAGAGAGGCCAGGGTGGGGAAGCATCGCTTCTGACCGGGGGTGGGGGGGTTGCTGTTGGGGTTTTGGAGCAGGGGAGAGGGCTCAGAGCGGCACTGGGGACATTGACTGCTGTACCAGATCTGCTGGTGTGAGGAGGACTGTGTACAGGAACGTGGTTGGGGAATGATCACGTTCCATGTCTGAGGTATTACCCAGCCCAGGGGCTGGCCGACTTTCCGTAAAGGGTCAACGGAGTGAATACCTTAGACTTTGCAGGACCTCTGGTCTGTGTCACAGCTGTTGAGCTCTGCTGTTGTAGGATGAAAGCAGACATGCGTCATACATACGGTACCTGAGTTACACACGAGTGTGGCTGTGCTCCAAGGAAAATCTGTATTTTCTGATCTTTTTCCATTGGGTTGGATTTGGCCCGTGGGCCATCGTTGGCAGACCCCTGACCTGGAGCACACGGGTGTCCCAAGTGGGTGGAAAGGAAGTTTCACATTGGAAAGAGGAGGCCAGAAGCCCCAGAAGGTGCTGGTGACTTGGTACTGGGTGGGTGGCAGCAGAGAATAGAGAATAATCCCTGAGGAGTCTGGTGACAGGACGGGGGAGGAGGAGGGAGGGTAGGATCCTGAATTCTACTTGAGATTCTAGGAGGATGCACGGCACTAGGCCATTTGCAGATGATTGGAGGTGCATCAGAATTCGTCGAGTGTCTCTGGGGCCAGGTCCTGGCTAGGGCTGGGGATTTAGGGGTGAACTAGGCAGATGACTCCAGGGGAAGTCAGAAGAGTGCTTAATTGATGCTTACGGAAGAGCATGAAGCAGTTGGAAACCTTAGCGCGTTTATTCCCGGCTTCTGTGAGAGAAGTTACTATTTCCATTATGCAGATGAGGATGTTGAGGCCGTGAGAAGTCAAGTCACATGCATGAATAACTCCGTGAGTGATGATCAGAGCCAGGACTTCAGTCCAGATTTCTCGGACTCCAGACATGGTCTCACCCACGGTGCTGGGAATACTTAGGTTGACCTGTATGAAATTGTAAGTCAAAAATGGTTGAATGTCGGCAGTTTTGTATGGCTCAACTAATAAGGCGCTCATGTCTGGGGAAAGTCAGGGCTGTGGATGTGGCCTCCACCCTCCGCCCCCGCTTCCAGACCTACTCTTTTTCTTTCTGCACTTCCTTCCTTCCTTCCTCCTTCCCCAGCTTCATTTCCATGGCTCATTACAGCAGCACCCTTGCTCATGTAACCTAGCCTCCCATGGCTTCCTGGTTTTCTCAGTATGTCCATTTGGCAGAACCCTACCTTGGACAGACCCCAGCCATCCATCCTTTACTCGCCTGTACCCAAGCGTCAGAGGTCAGCCGGAGAAGGTTGTGCAGGAGGACACGCTCATTCCACCATGCACACACACATCTTGACCACTAACCTGAGAAGCAGACGTTTTCATCGGCCTGCTCGTCTGACCAGATCCGTTGCATAGCAGCCTCTGTACCCACTCGCCACAAGGGCAGTTTCCCAAGTTCTCTGCTGTGTTGCAGACCTCCCGGCTTGCCCTGCGCCGTTGCTGGCAACCCGTGGCCTTGCCTGTTCCTTCAGAGGAACACAGCCAGGCGCTGCCCCCCGCCCCCACACCTTCCAGCCCCCCGGCCTTCAAACCTCCCCACAGCTGCTCTGGCCTTTCCCTCCCTGTCCTCTTGTAGACAGATGTCCTATTTTCAGTTGCTTCCTTCCCATGGCAGTTAGCTAGCTAGCTGTCTGTCTATTTTTAGTTTATTTTATTTTTTAAAGATTTTATTTATTTATTTGACAGAGAGAGACACAGTGAAAGAGGGAACACAAGCAGGGGGAGTGGGAGAGGGAGAAGCAGGCTTCCCACGGAGCAGGGAGCCCAATGGGGGGCTCAATCTCAGGACCCTGGGACCATGACCTGAGCCGAAGGCAGACGCTTAACGACTGAGCCACCCAGGCGCCCCTCCATGGCATTTAAATATCCTCCTGTACTTCCAGGTTCCTTCCTTGACACCTTGCATCTCCCCCTAGAGCAGTGCTGTCCCCTAGAACATTCTGTACTACCTGCGCTATCCCCTATGGTAGCTGCTCGCACACCTGGCCGCTGGACCCTTGAGCTGTGGCTGATGAGACTGAGGAGTAGAAGTTAACATTTTCTTTTACTTTATTTAAGTAGCATCGTGTAGCTAGTGGCTACCATGTTGAACAGCACAACCTACAACCTGTCTCCTTCCCCAGCCCAGGTAGATGTCTGTCTGAGAGTCGTTCCATCCTGTCTCTCCTGCTTTCTTACTCCTGCGCTCTCGCCGTGTGGTCTCTGTCTCTGCGCGGTCACCATTGAGCTCTGAGCCATGAAGAACTGTGGACGTCTTAAATTTTAAACAGCATTTTGAGACCTTGTCTCGCAAAGATGGGATTGGTCAGAGTCCCAGGATCTCCCCAGCAGAAGGGACCGTCTCGGCAGGTCTTGGCTAAAGAAAGAGGTGCACCCGGGGCTGAACTCAGGAGGTGTCCACATCTAGGACCTGGGACGAGGCTGGACGGGAGGCATATTAGCAAAGGGCGGGGGGAGCACCCTGGAGCTCACTGTCAGAGATTGGAGGAAGAAAAGTATTTTCAGGCAGTGTTGCGATGACATCCCTGAGCGTAAGCAGGAGGTGCCCGGAGGCCTGGTCAGGACCGCAGACTTGCATCTTACCATTTTCCTCCGTTTCTCACAAAACATTGTGCTGGAGGTTGTGCAAAAGCCTGTTTGCTGCCCCTTCGAATTCCTCATACGTCGTACTTCTTCTGCTGGCTCTTGCTGTTGGTGGCTGTGCGGGTGGAATCTCGCGGACGGAAGTGGGCTCTGAAACCCTGGGGACTCCTGAGCTCGGAGTGGCTCTTGGTGCTGGGCGGGTGAGGAAGAGGAGGGCACAGCCGGAGGGAGGAAGCTTTAGTAGGGGGTATGCCTTTCCTTGCTGCTTGCCTGTCTTTTAATTTTGAGATTCTAAAGCAAAACATGCATATAGTTAGAGAAAATAAAATGGTCCAGAGAAGGATCGTTCCTAGGCCCAGTCCCCACTGACGTCTCTGGTACGTACCTCCTTACGTACAGATAACGAATTTCCCTGTACTTGTGTTTCTGGAGGTTAGTGTTCCACATTGCTTGTTGACTTCCGGTTTTAGAAGATGAGAGTTGGGCTCATCGATGACCTCTCCTCTCCCCCTCCTCCCTGACGACCTGTGTCACTGTTGAGGTGCTCTAGGGGTTCCCTGGGTCAAATACAACGTGCACTCTTTTGTCCCAGTTCTGTCCACTAGAGAAGGCGTCTCTCGTCCCCTCCCTCGGCAGCTGCCCTCCACCCTTGCCCCTCCTCCTCCAGCCGTGTCCAGCCGGCCCTCGGCTCCGCTGGGACCTCCCGTCCTCAGGGTTGAGAGCAGGTGCATCTGTCCCTAACCGCAGTCGGGTCTTCGGCACCTGGCAGCCGAGCCGGAGACGTTGAGGTCGGGTTCCCGTAGCCCGGAGCTGGCTGTTTGTTGCTGAGGTGCTTGGGCTGCCGGGATTATGCGTCCATTCAGGCCCAGCTGTCCCTTCTCCTGCAGTTTCTGTTTTGTCCTTTTGTCCTGCCTTCAGTTAACTGATTTCTGCACCAAGCTCTTCAGCGGACCCCTTACCCCTCATGTCATTGAAAGCCCTTTCGTATCACTAAGTTTTGACTCCTCGGTTCCCAGATGTTACTTGTTAGGATCCGGTCATCGTGGCAGAGGAGTTGGCCCCTCGATACCTCGTCTGTAGCCCCTTCCTCAGTCCTGACCACGGTGCCTTCCTCACCCGCCCCGCCCGGCCCGTCCTCAGTCAGCCTTGGTGGTAGAGGAGTTATGATCCCCCTCAAGAATCCTGATCCCTTGGGTGATGCTCTCTGCCTCAGTGTGGTTCTGGCCCCCGTTTCCCTGGTTGAATTAGGCTGTGGGCAGAACTAGTGGTTCGGAGAATTGTGCTTTCGACGTCCTTCTGAACTTGTCGCTCACAAAGTTGCTTTTATGTCGTCGGTGCACCTTTTCCGCCACCCGTCACACCGTGCTGTGGCCAGTGACCCCGCCCGCGGCTTAACATGCACAGTAGAAAAGCGCCAGTGCCCGTGAATGCCTCCGGTTGGAGAAGGGCTCACAGTTCTGATTACGGCGGGTTGCGTGTTGACGGACACAAGTAGCAGGTGCTTGGGTCGCGGCCCCCCCGAGCTCCCTGACAGTCTCCGAGGCTGCCTGGACCAGCTCTTCGGGTCCCGGCGGGTGTGGTAAGCAGCCTGCCGATGCCCCGAGCGCCCCGGCCCAGCAGCCAGCCCACAAGGGGAAGTAGGACCTTGTGTCCCCGAAGCTGCGGGGATCGTTCCTGGCCTGCAGAAGGCTCGTTGTGTGTGCGTCCGTGCGTGCGTTTCCCTTCGTGGGCGTGTCTTGGGCGTGCGTTCCCCTTTGTGGGCGTGTCTTCTGTTTTCTGACTGATGGGGCTTGCTCTGCCTTGTGCTTCTTAGCTGTGCTTCGCAGGGCCATGGAAGACTGCAGTAGGCAACGAGAGCCAGAGTGTACAGTTTGGCTTCTGGAAGGGATCATCCTTGTTGTTTTTCAGAAAGGGTCCTAGGTTAACACCGATTCTCCCCTGCAGTGATTGGCCATATCAGCCAGAGCCCTGTGTCCTGTTAGTGTGAGGAGCGGGGTCCTGCAGAGACCTGGGGCTGGCTGGCCTGGCTCTGTGGTGCAGGTTCCTTCACCTGACTGCATTGTTGTCGGATTTTCTCCCGTTAGATGATAACCAGCTGCACCACTCCCCAGAGACCTTCCTGAAGAACCATCCCGTGTAGGTTTCACAAATGAGGAAGAATGAGTAAGAAGAGCTGGATTTAGGACCCCAGTTCTGTCTACCGGAATACTGCCTGTTCTTTTGGTCATTGATGCAGATGGTTAAAAAGAAGTCTCTCCTGGGTGAACGCATTACTTTGGAGATTTTTATCTTTCTCTTTATTACTTATCTTCCAAAACCAGAACGCGTGACTAAACACACGCATTCCTTTTTACCAGGCGGTGAGAACTGTCATCCCCCAGCTCTGTTCTGGTCCCTTCCTCACTCATTCTCATTCTGTCTCTGAGCTTGACAGTTGGCTTCTTTCAATTAATCATCTCACCTCAAGAAATTTAAAAACAAAGTTTCATCCCAGCCTCTCTGAACTTGTCAGAAGATCAGGGTGTGATGGGATCTTGGCGGTGTGCTGATGGGTCTCTCGCCATCAGCCCCGCCTGCCTGAGCTGAGCTGCACGACAGCTTACAGACCCCTTGTTTGGCTCTTCCTTCAACTTCCTCTTAGCTTCCACAGCCACTGTTTAGCTTCTTGTGGTCCACGTCTCCTCAAAGCCACCCTAGGTCTTCTCTCTGGTTCTGTGTCCTTTGCTGACCCCCAGCCTGTGCTTGCTGGGTGTCTTGTTTCTAGCTCGACTTAACCATTCTGGCCCTCGATTCTTCTCCTCTGTGATCCTCTCCCTCAGGTGGTTTGGTTATAGTCTGTTTTTCAAGTTGTCTATAAATTGACTAAAGAAACTCCACCAATGGAAGGAAGTCAATCGAATGCCACATTTCGGTTCCCCTTTCCAGCAGCCGAGCTTGGACACAGAAGCGTCCAAGAGGTGCTTGGTGTCGATCTGCCGTGTGATACGGGCACACGGTTTCAGGTGCCGCGTAAGGACTGCCTCCCTTGGCACTTCACTTCCTTCCTCACCAATCTTGGTTCTCCACCACGTGATGGCCTCCTGTTTTTCTGATCGGCTGTCGAATCCCAAAACGAGAAGTCGTTCTACCTTTGTGCTCTGGAGATGCCCCCGCGTTGGGGAGCGGACGGTGGCTCGGGCCACGCTGCCCCGAGCAGGAGGGCAGAGGGGCGGCCCGCCGAGGAGGCACGGGCCCGGTGGTGGGGCAGTTCCGCCTCGGTGGGGCTGGCAGGAATGCTCAACCTCCCCTTCTGTTGCCTTTCTCCTGCAGACCACTCCCGGAGCAGTAAGTCTAGTTGCTGGAGCAGCAGTGACGAGAAGCGAGGACCCGCACGCTCCGAGCACAACACCAGTTCCAGTTCGAAGAGTCTCCTCCCGAAAGAGTCTCGGCTGGACACCTTCTGGGACTAGGGACAAGTCACGACACAAGCCACCCACGCCGTGGAGGAAAAAAAAACCAGACACCAGGGCAATAGGAAGCAGCAAAGAAACGTGAGACTGGAGAGCAGCCACCTTCAGACTGGAGAGCACCAGGCACGCGGACTTGGCCTTCGCCTTTGGCACAGAGGGCAGCCTACACTACATAGCGTCCTGCATTGGCATCAACTGAGGACTGTTGGACCCACACGAAACCTATGCTTTAGGTGTAAATGATGTACAATTTGTGGATGTCCTTGAACCTAGAATACCTTCCCCTTTTTATATTTGTATTGACTTTAACTTATAAAAAAAAGAAAAAGAAAAACCATTAGAAAAAAATAAACCCAGTAACGAAAAGAATGTTTGGACGCTGGAGGAGGGCTGGTCGGTCGGCCCGTCTGTCACGGCGGCATGGAGCCCGGGTCCTGGGGTCGCTGTGGTACACAGGCCTCATCCGTGCACGCCGTGGGGGGATGCGACCCGTTGGCGTTCAGGCGTCTTGACGCAGCACATCGGGACCAGGAGTTGTGGGCACATCCCATGGAGCCATCGGCCCCTTTCAGATACTACGTTCCTATGTTATACAATGCAAGCTCTCTGGACCGGAAGGCCACCTGGAGAAGCTAGTTTATTTTGTGTGGTTTCAGTGATGACTACTCCTAAAAGGGAAGAAAAAAGGCCCAGGTGCGGCCTCTGCCCTCATCCATCTGACCTGAGCTGAAGACGGAAACAAGTCCCGCTCAGCTCCACCGCAGGAGAGGACAGAGGAAGCGTGAAGAGTCATAAGCTCTGAAACAAAGAGAATCTTTTCTTTGCTTTGTGGTTCCTTTTAAACACACTCACACATACTTGGTAAGCAATGCCGTGCTTCTTGGAAGCGAGCACTCAAAGGCAAGATGCACGCAGAGGACATTTGAGTCTGGGATGAAGCATGTATGTATTATTTATATGATGGAATTTTACGTTTTTATGTAAGCATGAAACAGAGGCAGTGTGAGAGAAAGCAAGACACCGGCCGTGCTGTCACAGTACGTGCACTGTAGTACCATTTTGTATGTTGTGTAAAACAAAAAGCATTGAACAAAGCAAAAGGTGATGTATGTATATGAGAAAATTAATTGTACAATATCATTCCAGTACATTCTGTTGTACATTTTAGTCCTGTTTACTTTCTCTTCATTGTTGATAAGAGGATGCGAACTGTGTACAGTTTCCAGCTAGTTACCCATATTAGAGAAGAACTACGCAGAGAGAGTATTAGAAGAAAAAGAGAGAAAGAACATTTGTGAATTGCAGTTGTCAAAAAAAAAAAAATAGCCTAGCTGGCCTTATTTGTGAAGCATAATTGCTTTTAGCATATGGAAGTATTTTTTCACATTTTCTTTGTATAAAATTTGTATTAAACTTAAATATCTTTTTTGATGACGGTGTTTCTTTGTGACTGAGCCAGTGGACTCACACAGTATGCTCTTTTGGGTTCCGCCCCTCCCCTGCCCCCGGTTTTTTCAGATTCTTCACCTTTTTTTAATTAAACTGTTTTTGGAAAAATGGCTTGGTCGTACTCAAATTTGCAGTTTTCCATTTGGTCGGGATGGCCGTGTCCGGTCTGCATGACCCAGCACAGGAGGTCAAGGACATCTCCATAGGTGGTGGGCACATGATAAATAGGGGCCCCCAGTGGGCACCTTTCCTGGGAAGTCCGCTTCCTTGGAATTTATTGACAGGGACACACCAGCCAGAAGGGAAATCCTGGTGGGTCTTTGCAAGACGGTGAGTGAGAGGGGAGGGGACAGTCTTTCCGTGGCTAGGGCGGTGGGCTGGGCAGCGTGCGACCTCAGCGTGGCCCGGGTACGCCCTGGTCATCTAGCTTTCGTGGGTCACAAAATATTTTTTATTTTTTTTCAATCATTTAAAAATGTACATACTATGCTCAGCTTATGGGCCAAACCAAAAGCAGGGGATGGGCTGGATTTGGCCCACAGGCCATTTGCTGACCACTGATGGGAAAGGAACAAAATGGGGATATTTTATTTTATTTTTTATTTTTATATTTATTTATTTTGGTGCCGAAACCCAGGAACGAACCAAAAATGGAGATTATTCAAGGGGTGAAGGTGGCTACTCTCACTGGAATTATGCTGGGGCTTCTCTCAGGAGGCGACGTTTGACCTGAGACCTGAATGAAGAGCTGGCTGTGGGGACATGAAGTGGGTGAGCATCCTAGGCTGGGACCAGCAGGTACAAAGGCCCTGGGGTATTCACTCTGAGCTTGACATGCTTGGATGAGCTGCAGGGTGGCTGGTATGGCTGAGAGGAGTGGAGGTGGAGAGGGCACCGGATGTCACAGGGTCAGTGGTCCCTGGCATTCACCTGGTGGGTGTGGGCCGCCCTAATGTGAGCTGCCAGGTGCTCTTGTAGAAACAAGAGGCCCAAAGAAGTAACTAGCTCAAGGCCACGGAGCTGGTGAAAGATTCTAATTGGACTGCTATTGAATGCTTTTCCCAGTAAATGGGACATTGTCATTTTTTTTTTTAAATTTTATTCATTTGGTAGAGGGACACAGCTAGAGAGGGAACACAAGCAGGGAGAGTGGGAGAGGGAGAAGCAGACTCCCCACTGAGCAGGGATCCTGATGTGGGGCTTGATCCCAGGACCCTGGGATCATGACCTGAGCTGAAGGCAGACGTTTAACGACTGAGCCACCCAGGCGCCCCATGGACAGTGTCATTTTTTGAGATAAAAATTTTTTCAGCTTCCTCATTGGGCATGTATGTGCACCTTGCCTTCTCATGTGAAGACCACAGGGGGGCGAGGGACACAGCCCCACTTTAGGGGACGAGGCCGAGGCTGTGAGCAGGACCGCAGTATGGCCCCCTGTTCTTCCAGCTCCAGCAAGCCAGCCCCTGTCTGGCCCCAGGGCCCTTGAACTTGCTGCACCCTTGGCCTGGCACACCCTTCTGTGGCTGGCATCTTACTCGGATTGTCTTTCAGGTGTCACCTCTGAAGCAGCCACTCCCCTCCCCCCATTGTCCTCTGTCCCAGCCTCTTACTAGTTTTCATATCCTTGAGCAAAGTTAATACATATTTATGACTTCCTCTTGTGCGTCGTACTCACAGGTGAGCTGTGTCAGGGGATGGGCGGGCTTGGAAGGACACTTGGTTCCTGGATGGGGCCGTGTTTGAGCAGGGGCAGCCTTTGAGCCTTCCTCACCATGACCCCTGAACCCATGGTCTCAGCTGCAGCCTCCCAGGGAAGGAGGCACCGGAGGAGGAAGTGGCTTTCACAGTGGTAGAGAAAGTGGTGCTTTTTAAAAAAATGTTGAATTTTACTATATATTTGACTAGGTCCATGCCTCCCATTTGGAAAGATATGGGTGTGCTCCCAGCCCCCTGGCTCTCCCAGGTCCCTCTCCTACGCACCCTTCAGTTCTGTGCATTTACAGACCTCCGCGGGGAGGCAGTTTTCTCTCCTTCTGGAACATAACTGGCAGCATCTGACACACACCCTCCTGTCTTGTTTCCTTTTTTACTTATCCTGAGGCCTGGGGCATTTTTCCAGCGCCCCTTCGTTCCCCTGTGGGTCCGTGATCCACAGCCTCCGGTGGATGGGTCCTCAGTCTCCAACACTGGCCACGGGGTCCCGTGGGAGTCCTCCAAGGCTGCACCAGAGGGTCTGTGAGCGGCCAGACAAGAGGGGGAGTACTTGGAGCTTCCAGACAGGGCTGTGGAGCCTTCCTCTCTGGCGCTAGTCCCGGTCGAGTATTTTCAGATGCCCGATGAGTCTGAATCGACAGTGGGGTCTGCCATGGTCCTTGCTACGTTTTAGGGATGGCCGGGCGCGGAACAGGACCGGCTGCGGAGGCCCGTAATGCGATCGGGCACTCTCGCCACCTGGTGGCCCTCCTCTAGAACTGCAGCCCCCAGAGTCGGAGCTGGACCACCGGAGACAGAGAGGTGGGCCAAAGCCGTTCGTTCAGGTGACAGCTGTTTACCGAGCCCTCTGGACTGAGCACTGAGGACACAGCACTGAACAAAACAGGTGCGGCCTCTGCCCTCATCCATCTGACTTTCCCCATGAGAAGCAATCAAACATGCGTACAATGTAATCCCAGGTGGGACAGATAATGTTGAAGGTAAATAAGCACGGTGCGGAGGGGAGGTAGATGGTGTGCTTGGGGACGGCCTCTCCAAGGAGCTGGCTACTGAGCAGAAACCTGAAGGAAGGGCTACCGAGCCCTGATGACCAGGGCATTGGTTGTTCATGCTGGCAGAACATTAGAAGCACCTGGGAAGGTGTTTGTTTTTTTAAATAACCGGTAAATGCTGAGACCCTCCCTGCTTTCCCCCAAATAATGACATCTGACTCTCTGGGCTGGGGTTTGGGCATCCGTCATTTAAAGTTTTTCAGGTGATCCTATTGGTCAGCCAGAGCCAAGAGCTGTTAACCTCGGTTGGAAGAATGTCCCAGGTAGAAGAACAAACGTAAAAAGGCCTGAGGCCGGGACCTGGCATCTTCCAGGAAGAGAAGGACTGGTGAGGCCAGAAAGGAGGGATTCCAGGTGGGGGTGGGGCTGATGGGCTCCCAGAGGGAGAGAGGGAGGGAGGGAGGGAGAGTGGGAGGGAGAGGGTGGGTTTGCACTGTGCTCCAAAGCGGATGGGAAGCCAGGTGGGTGGTTTTTTTTAAACAGCTTTAATGAGATATAATTCACATACCATACGATCCATCCCATTTGAAGTGTGTAATTCAATGATTTTTGGTATATTATTTAAAATAAATTGTAGTAAAATAAATATAATAAAATTTGTCCTTTAAACCATTTTTAAGTATACAATTCAGTGGCATTAATCAGAGTTGTGTTTCGAACATAGAAATGTTTTCCAAACTTCAGCTTTCATATTCGGGCACATCAGGACACCCCCTACGTTTTCTTTCATCCAGGGAAACAAAGGTCACCATATTCCTTCCAGCGTCCCGGGTGTGGGCTCAGTCCGCATACTGAGCTCTGTGCTGAGGGTCTTCCTGTAATCTTTGGTCTTCATGATAACTGCACAGGGCAGAATGAGGGAAGTGACTTGCCCAGGGTGACACAACAGGTTAGTGCCAGAGCCAGGACTCAGACTGGACCCCCGTGTCTGCGGCACGGCGGTCAGTTCACAAAACGCCTTCTGGGGCCCCTCTTTCCCTGACTCCCCCCACTGTCCACAGACTGGGATACTCACCACTATACTAACGAGGACCGG